AAAAAAAAATTTCCGAACTTTTTTTAGAAAATTTTTTTTTCCTAATCATTTTCTCAAAATTTTCTAAAAAAAATTTTGAAATATTTTTTTTGAAAAATGTTTAGGAAATTTTTTTTTTTTAAAGTTGAGAAGTTTGGACAGAAAAAAAATTCAGACTGCACCTGTGGAATGTGAGAGTTGGGTTCAAACACTCGACCTTCTGTCTCACACTGCTGCACAGCTTGGTGAATTTCATCAGAATATAATCTGCAGGCTCTCGCTGCTCTCTCAAGTCTAAAAACAAAGAGCATCTTTACTCGACGTGATCAAGCTTTTCAAAAACATTTTATTTGTTTAAAATGACGCCCAGTACAAAACGTATACAGTAATACCCTCATGTTTGTCAATTCCCCTGAATAAAATATTTGAATCTGTTCAGCTCATGCTCATTAAACAGTATCTATAAGATACACTTGATTGCTCATACAACAGTTGATGACAAAGATAAAGCAATTGTACCTTTGTAACAATAAAAAGCATCATAGTTCATATTTTGGTGGACACAATTTCAGTACAATAAAATTACATACAACGTTCTGTAAAAGTTGCATTGCAATCTGCCTATAAATTACAAAATTCTCAAACTTGTGTATATAGTTTCATTAAGTAAAACAAAAAAAAACAAAAACAAAAACAAAAAATCATGTGAAACTAAGTCTTTATACATTTATAAAAATGGTGTGGCGTGCGGCAGCCCTGCAGAGTCAGCAGCCTCTTCTCTCTGGAGCTGCTGTAACAGGTCAACAATGCACTTGATCTTTTTTTTTTGTTTATTCATTTATTTTTTAGTTAAAACAAGGCAACTTCTCCGACTTTAGAATAAATAATAAATCATCTGCAAACAAACCTGTACCTGTTGAAATATCCAGTTTTTATATTATATATCTATTTATATAGGTTTACATATGTTCTTCGCCCACAACGAACTCCAAAACAGTTGAATGGTGTGTGTGTGTGTGTGTGTGTGTGTGTGTGTGTGAGACACAGCATCTCGGTGGCACTGGTATTAAACGTCAACACAGTCTGCATGCACTGGTTTTCATGGAAAGCCAGATGTGAGTTTTCCAGTTGAGGCTTTTCTTTTCTCCCCTTCTTGGCTTTGACAAAATCAAATGAATATATACTTATATACATTTATAGAAAGTAAAAGGTGCGGCGTGACGGCCACTCATACCCTGGTTGGCTGGTTTTGGACTGATCGCAGCATCAGCCTCATTGATTAGTGGGCCTCCTTGATGCTGCCCCCCAGGTTGGAAGGGTCTTCCTGTGGGAACGTCACCTTATCTGGTGTGTACTCGTTTCTCTTCAGATCTGCAGATGAAAACAGGCCACAGTTACACAACAATAGGACTTCTGCTCCCCTAATATAAATTAAAAAAAACAAACAATAAAAACAATGTAAGTTAAATTCATAGTTCCTGTCACCAAAAATATACTTTTATTTAATTATTTATTTATATTTTCATGATTCTTTTTTGGAAGTTTAAAGAATTGTCCTGTCCAGCAGATGGCGACCTCCAAAGTCAAGAGCCAACTCTGATCACATCGCTACCTTTGCTACTACCTCTGTTGTCAAGCGAGTCAGAGAGTTAGAACTCAGGTTCAGTGGAGTTTGCGAACATGTGTGTCGCTAGTTTGAATCCCTGCTCAAACAGTTCCCTCGACCACCACTCCGTCGTGTTCGTGCCAAAGATTGTTTAAGAATTCAGAACAAAGACATTTTTCCGACCGAGTCAGTTCTCACCAGGTAGTTTGAGTTTGCGACAGCAGGAGTTACAGTGGTGCTTTGCACGAAAGTTCCTGATGGCATCGTCTCCCAGGTTGGCCGGTCCAAATATCATATCGTACGAACTGCAGAGAAACACAGTGAGGGTTTAGACTCACAGTCCTGGACTGGACAGAAGGTAGACTCACCATGAAGAAGTGCGACTCCGTGCTACGTACCCCTTCTCACCACTCTTGATGAGACTCTGTCCTACGTACCCCTTCTCACCACTCTTGATGACAGAGGGGTCCGTCAGTATCTCCCCGACTCCTGCGGAGGAACAAACAGATTTTACCACTTCAACACCAACGACGATCTGAACTGTAGAGCCGTAATCAACCAATGAAAGTCCTGGTCGACTGAAGCCGGGAAATCTCAACTGATAATCGACTAATCGATCAATATCTGAAGTGCCAAAAATATTTGTTCTGTTTTGTATTTCATTTTTGAAGACTTTTTCAGGAAATTATAATTATTTTATTTCGCTTTTGATCAATGGTTGAATTTGAACCATAAAAAAAGGTCATCGTTGTGTTCTTCAGAGCTCAGGACTGCAATTTTATTTTTATTTTATTTATTAGAATCAGAATCTTATTTGTAGGGTTAGGGTACCCAATAAGGTTGACCAATAACTCGACCAGTCGACAGTGAAGAAGAAGAGGTTTTTTTTTTACCCTGCAGGTCGAGCACCAGCAGCTCGCCACGCGTGTACTCGTAGGTCCAGTGGCTGAAGGCCAGCATGGTTTCCTCCAGCAGGTTGGTGGGAACGATTTCGTCCCCGTTGTTGTTGTTGAACTTCCTGAATTCCCCGGTGATGCACTCCTCTATGGCGAACCACTGTCCAGCAGAATGACAGTAGAGCAGAAACACCTCCAGAAACCTGCAGACGCACAAGGTCACGGGTGAATAAGGAAAGGTCAAAAGCACTGACCCCTGGAGTGGACGATGGGGGGGGGGGGCTCACGCCAACAGCTGTCTCTGATCACGACGTTACATTTACAATAAAATGTATTTGTGTTTTTATCATCTGTATTGATTTAGACAATAACAATAAAGTGTTAAGATATAAAGGATAAAGTCTGACCTCGGTGAATATGGAATGGTTTTGGGTCTGACTTGATTGAAGGCAAAGGTCAATTTCTGAGAAGCTCTTTGTTGTTGAATTTCCTGGAGGAGAAAAAAAAAAAGGATGTGATATATAATTTACTGTACATACAAACGCAAACATATATATATAAATGAATAAATATATATACAAATAATTATATATGATACAAATAGAATGTATAGTTTACAGGTGTGTATGATAATCATCAGCCAAATGTACCAGATAAATCATTTTCTAAATATGTTTTTAAAAATAAAACACATAAAAAGTACAGATTTGCCAGAATATATGTACCTGTGTGCTTTATGATTAAAATTACAAAAAAAATGTTTTTAACATCAACCTTTCTTCAAGCAATGAAAGCAAATGCATTAAATAAAAAAATAAAAATCAACCTTTGATTGTAAGAATTTTTTGAAAACTTTCCCAAAACTAAAATTCCCAGACACATATATATATATAAATACATGTGTGTGTGTGTGTGTGTATTCCCAGACACACATATATATATATATATATATAAATACGTGTGTGTGTGTGTGTGTGTGTGTGTCTCGTACCCTGAGACAGAGGTGCAGCACGGTGTCCTCCTTGTAGATGCTCTGCCAGGTCTGGACCACCTCTGGCAGGAAGGACTTGACGATGTACAGGTGACCTGGCTTCAGGATGTCGTACTCTGACCAGGTGCAGAGCACCTTGAGGGCTCGTCGGAGTCCTCCGCCCATCTCCTCCTTACTGAGGAACTCGATTTTGGCACAAAGGCCCCGCTGGGCCCAGGAAGACATGCTGTTGTTGATGGTGTTAGGAGAACTCTCCTCCAGACGGTACACCGTCACCGGTTCACCTGTTCACCAAGAAAGAAGAAACTTGAACCCTGACGTGTTTCCATATGAATAATTCCATCACTCAGACCAGTCACAAAATAAAGACGGTATAAAATACATCCAGAAGATTCCAGCAGAATTTGATCCATACTCATATGTAGGAATGTTGATTAATTCTGCTAAATTACAAACACAACTCATAACTAGCTACAATGTGATTAATAAAATTTAAAATTGTTTGACAGATTCGTCTCTGTTTTATTGTGTAAAATAATGTCAAACGTCAGTGTTTATTAGTTTAATTCATCAAATCCATGTGTTTGAACTAAAAGACTGTTTTATTCTCCCTGCTGATGCACACACTGACCTTTAGGGGGCACAGGAGTAAACGGGATGCTCTGGGACAGTCTCATCAGGTTGTTGCGTTCAACAGCTGCACACACAGACACAAAAGACAGGTGGTCAAACAGTTGTTGACCAGTAGTGGACCCTGGACGTCTGTGTCCGTGCGGCCGGCTCACCTGAGTACTGGTAGCTCTCCATTGGCTTGAAAGGTGAACCAATAGCTGCAGAGAAGACAAAAGCAGCATGAATGTTGGCGTTGGCTGGTCCTAAAGGTGCAGTTCAACATGAACACAGTTCAGTCTCTGCTCTGTGTCCTAACTGTCTCACAGCGGAGCATGAACTGAAGCTAAGCCTGGTGTTTATTTCTGCTTTACTCACAGTCCTTTCTGGCTCCCAGGTGGGTGTGACGCGGGGCGTAGAGAGACGCACTAGCAGCTGTGACCATAGATGGAGGAAAAAAGAAAAAAAAAGAAAGTTAAAACGTCTGATGTCTGAACACAGACAGCAGGTTCTCTGCCTGATCACGTTCTGTTTCGAGATTCTTGATTCTAAAGGTTAGCAGCTTCTAACACAGGTCACAGGAGGTCACAGGAGGTCACATGATCGTGACAGTGTGTCTGTGTATGTGTGGCTGGACATGTGTGACCACAGTGTTATTCAGACAGTTAGAGCAGTAATAATAAAAGTGAGTGCAGTCTTCTCACCACTGAGACTCTCCTGACCAGGAGCTCTTCTTCCAGAGGGACAGGACAGACAAAGAAAAGAAAATGAAAAACCATGGTTAGTTGATGATCATGACATCACTCAATAATCACAGCACAGTACAGTAAAAACCACAATACACTTCAGTACAACTTAGTTAACTTTGGTAACACTGGTAATAAATACATCGTAACAAACAGACACTTTTATAACTAACCTGCATCGTTTTATTCGTTATAACAGAAAAATACAGAAACTGAGGGAAAGTTTATTTTATTTTTTTAGTTCGTTTGGATCTAGGATTAGAATTTGACTCAGATGAGGTTGTGAGTATTATTATATATTTGTAAGACATGAAATGTGTTCACAAAAAAACACAAAAACCTGTGTGTGTGTGTGTGTGTGTGTGTGCACTCACAGACTGTTGGCTTGGACTGATTTGAACTGAACTTTTTCCTGTTGAAAAAAAAACCAAAATAAAGTGTTTTAAAACAATTGCATTCCCCAGAATGAAACAACTGAGCTCTGGTTAATTAAGCAGACTGTGTTGATTCAATATGAGCCACAGGTGAAATTCTTACCAAGACTGCAGTCCTGGGATCCTCGTGGATGAGGATGTCTTCAGCCGACACTCTGCTTCTCTCCCTCTTTGTTAGAGCTTCAAAAAAACAAACACAACAGTGACCGTTAACGACGCTGCGATTCAGAGATGAGTTTGATGAGTCGCTCAGTTATGACTGAACCTACAGAAGTCAGGATGGAGAAAGGCGGGTTTTCGGTCAAACTCTGTGAACCCAGCGTAGGAGTTGACGGCTCTGATGGGGCCGTGACCTTCAGGTTGAGCCTGTGATCACAGAAAGAAAAAACAAAAACCATAGGGTCACCATTTAAAAAGGAAGTGATCTTTAAGAACAATATCAACAAGATCAACACAGAAGATAGAACTCTGATGGTTGAATTTTATAAAGTTGAGCAGCAGGGACTCAAAATCTAAAAAAAAAGATTGTGCAGATTTCCCATCATCCTGTGCGGCGTGGCTTCATTTTAGAGATAACTTTAGACGAACACGAAACAAGAGTGAACAGTTCCAGCGTTCTTCTTCGTACTGTGAATGTACTCACCTGCCTAAAAGTTTTGCACAGGACTGTATAAACTGCCTGCGTTTGCGACGGTGTCATCTGTAAACACACACACACACACACACACACCTGTGGCCTGGTCTCTGACTCCGGGCTGGGCTGTCTGCTGGACACGGAGGAGTCTTTGGGCGTCGAGTGCTGCCACTCCACACTGTCTTTATGTCCTGTCAACACAATCATTCCACTTTAAATACTTTATCATAGAACCTTCATTCACAGGTAACTGAAAACTGTATCTGTTTGAATTTATTTAACTCAATTATTTCACCTGTAAACCAAACACATCCTGATCAGGTGATCAAACCACACCACACCGACAACAACAGAACAGAATTACAGTTAATTTTGATAAGAAATCCCATCATACCTCTCCATCCACCAAACACAGTCTTAATAAAACGGCGAACTTTGAAGATGTTAGTTTGAGAAACAACAGAGAGTAAAGGAGTCAAAGACAGAGCAGAAAGGCAGCAGTAAAGTCTGTGCAGATGATCCTGATCTGGGAGAAGACAAACCCGAGCACCCGGCAGACCAAGCCCTTGGTTTCACACTAAAACTCAAACCTCTTGTTGTGTCTGGTTCTGGTTCTGGTTCTGTTGTTGTGTTCGTCCCCCTGCAGCAGGACTCTGAGGGTCCTGGCAAATTCCGCCTTCTCATCCTCAATTTGCGGGGTTTCCTGGGAGCCACAACAGGGGCCCGGGAAAAACCCGACGGGGCGTTTTTTCTTTTACTGTGACTCACGGCTGCTCCGACCTCAGAAGCCAGAGTCACTTCAGCGTCTGTGCTGTGTTTGCTCAGAGACTCTGATCTGCCCTCATCATCACAGAACGCCTCGTTCACATACCCCAAACTGACCCGGGGGCGTCTGCCCTCACTTCCTAACCCCTCTGTGTCCTTAGTGCAAGAAGGCAAGCAGGCAAGAGGAGTCGAGGCAGAAGCCGAGACAACGATAACAGTAGGATAAACACACACACAGTTTTCATCCTCCTCGTTTCTCTTCTCATCCACACCAGGTTCTACATCATCCTCCTCCTCCTCATACTTACCCATAAAAGCACCAAACTCTACCGCCGTGCTGTCCGGCCGGAGCTCCGGGTGGCTGGAGCCACTGACCTGGGATGGGGTGCTGCTGATGTGGAACTGAGCCACAGGAGAGGGAACGTTGGGCAGGCTGGATGGAGTGTCTGAGAGGCCTGGCTCCTGTGGACGGGCGTGTCTGCTGTGAACCAGCGAGTGGCCGTGGAGACACAGTTCTGTAGGGGAGTCGGCCGCCGCGGCACTTTGGACAAAGGCACTGGGGTCAGCACCGCCTGAGGAGCCTGCCTCTACGGCCAGGTGTCCGAACCCAAACGGGTCTCCCGTCTCTGGACCGAGCCCTGGGTTCACACTGGGGTCCAGCCCCAGTCCTGCGCTTGGCCGGACTCTCCTGAAGCTCTCAGTCAGACCTGCTGCGCTCACACCTGTCCCAAACAGAGAATCTGCTATGTCCACCTGAGCCTGTGGAAAAGAGGAGCCAAAGTAAGGCCCCACGCTGTGTTTTCCGATCACAGAGGATTTGGAGTGAGGCCCGGTGTCCGTGGCCACGGCTGCGATGCTGGGGACCACGTTCTTGGACAGGCTGAGCTCCCGTGTGATCTGGTTGTGGACCTTGCTGGCCTCGGAGGCCCTCTGGGCGGTGAGGGTCTTCAGAGTGTCAACAGTCAGAGCAGAGAGGTCCTGCAGGTGACCGATCTGAGAGTCCAGCGTGTGCAGCGAGCGCTTTATGAAGTTCACCTTGTTCCCGACCTCCTTCAGCTGCAGACACATGATGTCAACTCTGGGGGAGACAGAAAAGTGGCTTCAGTTAGCAGCAGCTCAGTCATTACACCTGCTCATATATATAAAAAAAATCTATATGTTAAAAACTTAAAAAGGAGAAGAAAAGGTTTTACCTTTCTGCAGTGAGACGGATCCGCTCCTCACTGCCAGAGTGAAACTGATCGTCTTTTTCATGAAAGTACGTCTCCACGCACTGCTCCTCAAAATCATGGAGCTTCTTCTGGTCTTCTTCTGTTAGAAACAGCTCTACGACAAGAAAGAACAAACAGACGGATGATACCAAATATAGATGTCAAGGCAGAGCACCAGAGGTATTAGTTCACTATGATATTATAAAATAAAACACTAAATAAAATTGTACAAAATCAGTTAAAAAAACACTGCAAGAAAATGTATCCAGTACACATTTAATTATTATTAAAAAAATGTCTAATTTCTTTTTCTGTTATATAGCAAAACTGTATAAAATCAGTTAAAACAAATTATTATTATAAATCGCTGAAGATCCTAAAAAAATGTTTAATTTCTTTTTCTGTTATATAGCAAAAAACAAACAATTACCATTTATTTCTTAAAATGTCAATTCACTCTTCAGTCCCTGGGTAAAACAATCTCTTATTTTGTTAATTTGTTCCAGTTGGACTCACTTGGACCGTAGGTGTTCTCCTTCTTGCTCTTCCTACACATACAGAAGAGAGAGTAGATGTGGAACAGGAAGATGAACGGCGGCGGCAGGAACGGCTTCTCGTCGTAGGCCATGATGAAGTGGTACCGCTGGTACTTCCACACCAGGTTGGAAATGGACTTGACTTGCATGTATACATTGCTGAAAAGAACAGGAGGAGAATGAAAACATGAGTTCATGTGAGGACACACTGTTATTATATCGTTTATGCTTTGAAATGTCACTCACTTAAAGAAGGCAATGAGGAGGTTGACCATGAGGATATACTGCACGAAGAGGTAGACGGCTTGTAAGAGGGGAGTGAGCCACACTCCTGCTGTACACAGTTCTTTCACATTGTTTTCAGTGGTATTTGCACACACTGTGAAGAGAAGATGAAGGGTTTGTCCTTCTTACTGTCACATACTTCAATATGGAGCAGAAAATAATAACATAATTGTTAACATTGATTTTCCCAAACTAAAACACAGTATGTACTTGTGACGCAGCGACATCAGTACCACAGGTATCGGCCCTGACAGACATGCTAACATCTGTCCTCAGTTCAACGGTACAGAGAAGACGTGAGCAGCTGAGACTCATTCAAAACAACATTGTTGAGATGTGGAAACAGTGACACTCAAACACTGACCACAAGATGGAGCTTCACACTGAACTGAACTGACAAAGTGTCAAAGCTCAGCTGGGTTTGACAGCAGGAAGTTCAGCTCTATTTGACAAAGCCTGGTGTCATCACTGTGGTTTGGGTTGAGCTCACACCTCCACACTGAGCTGCACCACTAATACAGTACTGCCTACAGTAGACCCAATCAAAAGAAGTATTGGTGACAGTAGTACTTGTAATCTGCGAGTACACAGATTAAAATATTCACCAGGTTTGTAAAAAGTGGTATCAGAACAACCCTAGTACTGACACAAACTACTGATCAGGTTCTAAAACACAACCATAACCACAGTGATTTCAGACCAACCCAGGTCAAAGTTCACAGTCTGGACTTAAAATAATGAACTTAGAATTGCACCAATCAGATTAGGATCCTTTGATTGTTGCTTTCACCAGAGTCACCGGTGTTGACCACGTCCTCCACGTGGAGTGAAACAACGCTGACGATGATTAGGCCGTTGTCAGGTAGATTTTAAGGCGCTGGTTTTGACCCTGGTAATCTCATCCTCCTTACCATCGATCTCATAAGCATACACTTCTCCGTACATCATCCAGTAGGGCTGGAAGACCACGTCCTTGGCCAGAGTCCAGCTGGGCTCCTCGTGCGGATACAGAATAGCTTTTCTGGGAACGCCGTAGCTGAGCAGGACTATAGCCATTATCACCACTATGTAAAACATGTTGGCCACCTGGAAGACACGTCACGTAGACTCAATAACACAGCAGCTTAAAGTGGGTACAAAGACAACAGTGAAACGTTTGAGACACATTCAAGTCTGAACAAGTTTTAGTGATAAAAATCAAACACCTTTTAAAATCACAGAAATATCGGGTCAACTTCGGTCTCACTTTGGTTCCAAAGCCCACGACAAACTCAAGTAACTAACAAGAACTTACCATTTTGGCGATCATCATGACGTAGGGCCCGGCCTGTTGGTTGACAGCCAGGATGTCCAGGAGACGCACGTACCAGAAGATGATGTTCAGACAGTAAACTGTCCTGCCGGGGATGAAGGCCACGCCCCCGGCCAGCCTCAGGCCAAAGCCAATGAAGAACATTATAATGGCCACAAAGTCTGAGACGTTAAAATAGTCACTGAACCACACCTTGATCTTCTGGCTGATCTTGCCTGCTTCAGACATGAACATCTGTAGAAAACCAGAGGAGCAGTGAAGTTGGAAAATGACGAAAATGATTTCAGCTCGCTATACTAAAAAAAACCCAAAACATCTGGGATAAATACCTCTCGGATCTTTATGCTTAAAAAAAACAAATCTGGGATAAATACCTCTCGGATCTTTTCCACAGCAGAAGTGATGATGTAGAGGATGACCACCCACTCCTGAGGAGATGGGAATTCAGGCATCTTCACCAGGACCACGTATGAATACAACATCAGGAAGGCCAGGTAGAAGAGCTGAGGGACAAACACAAGTTAGAGGTTCAGTCCAACAAGAGTGAGAGGAGACGAAATGAACCTTTAATTAACGTCTGAGAGGAGCGCCCTCTAGTGTAAACATAAAGACTGAAGACGTTATGAGGTTAATAGTCCAACAGATACATGTTGACTGGTTCAGATGTCAACAATATCTTAGAAAAGGATTGAACGCTTTGAGGTTTTATTAACGTAGATGACTGAAAACTGCAAAAATTGTTAAGTAAAACTAAGCATCATGTACTGTATATAACTCAAAGAATTCTTGTTCTTGACTGTGGGAAAGTTTAAAAATATCCATGCAGACAGGCAAGATGTTGGAAAGGTCAAGGTTCATGTGATGTGTTGGAAAAACAGTCATTACTGTTCAAACTGGAGGCAGAGAAGCAGGTAAAAAGATGTAGATAAGCCCAGACACAGGCTGCGTTTCACACTCTGGCAGTTCCAGTGATAATATCAGCTCCTCTTGTTTTGAACAGCACAACAAAAAGCTGCTGAATCCACAGCAGGGACAGAACACCTGAATGAACGAGGGTCCGAGGGCCCTGAGAACCAGGCTCAGGTCTGTGTGTATGAATAAACATCAGGCCAACACTCAGTGTCAGTGGAACAACGTCGGCTTTAAATACAATATGTGTGACAAAGAGCTGAGGCCTTGTGATTCTGATTGTTCTTACCGTGTTGGACCAGAACTTGACAATGGGAGCATGGTAGAAGGCGTACATCTTCCTGATTAACGGCAGCCTCCTGGATCGAACGTGCGTCTCGATGTCGTTTTTCACCTCGGTGTGATCCTGGGCTCTCGACTCTTTGAACACGTCCTGAAGCCCCAGTTAATAAAACACAAACACAGGAAGAAGGTGAGTAACGTGAGCTTTTAAATCTTACAAAAACCTGTTCACAACAGCCCGATTCTAACCATCTGGATGTCGTCAGCTGTGTTCTGGAAGTTGTGCTCGCTGTCTTCCATGGTCATCTGGTGGTCATCCTGACTCTGGGGGATGTGAGCCATCTCAGCCTTGGATTTGTACTCCAACAGCAGGATGGCAGGAGGGACCAGGATACTGAGAATCACCTGGAAACAAAAAACATACTCACATGGGACGATGCTGCCTTTTTGGCCACAGATGTTTTGAACTAAATGAACGAAAATGTTTGAAAACTCGTCTGTGGAATCAGTCATTTAGAATCTTTTAGCATCAGACAAACAAATATAACCAATATTTATAATTAGTGGGTTAGAGATGATTTTCTTTTTAATCTATTGATTAATTTCCTCCACTGGTTTGTCTGTACAACTGAACGCCCACTAGTGGTCAGGACAGCGTGGTACAAGGGTGGGACACTTCGTGAGCAGCTGATCAAAGACCAAAATAATTGAAATGGAACATGAACCTTGTACCAGGAGTTCTTGCGCATGTTCAGCCTCCCCATCCACATGTCCGACAGCAGCATCTGAGTGCAGGTGTGAGCCACAAAGGGTCGTAAGTGGGAGGAGACCGCCAACTTCAAACAGGTGGAATTACTCCAGTTCTTTAGTTCATAGGTCAGCAGCTTCATGGCCATGGTCTCGTCCTGCCTGAACGACTGCTCCAGCAGATCCACGGCCAAAGTTCCAAAGTCACTGGAAATCATCAGTAGCATCGATGAGGTTTTATGGAAAACTTTTCGATGCATTATTTTTTTAATAAAACCTAAAAGAGGCACAAAGAAGTTGAACATACTTGGAGTACTCCTTGAGCTCCTCTGATGTGTCGTCCACCACATCACTCTTCTTGGCCTCGTAGCCCATGGATCTGCAGAGTTTGCAGGCCACCAGGGCCTTCGCCATGTTCTCCTCGCCGTGCTGCCAGAAGAACAGTGACATTTTCTGCCTCTTCATCAGCACAGCCCACACCAGGAGCTCGTTGAAGGGGTAGGGAAACCGCCGCGTCTCTGGGTCATCGATGTCTACGATCTCTTCTTTGCTCCTCTTTTTGTTCAGATCTGTGGGCGACTCCAGCTTCAGGGAAAAAGACGGAGCAGCCAACAAACGGCAACCATTCAGATGAAGCATGATTTGGTTTGTTGTTTTGTTGTATTTTAGGGCAAAGGTACTTTGAGTTTACCTTGGGTTTGTAGGGCTGTGCTGTCTGTATTTTTTAAAGACAACAACAGGAGTTTACCTTGGGTTTGTAGGGCTGTGCAGTCTTGATGAAATGGTTGTGCCTCGTCTTCTCCTTCTTGTCTGCCTGCATGCTGAAAGATTCGTGATTCTTCCTCAGGTGAGAGCCGGGACCTACCAGGTTACGTCCTGATCTCTGAGCAAGACATGAAAACCTAGCAGTTAATCACTGTTAATCATAATGAGTCCAGATCAATCACCATTCCTTCATATCAGTCTCCAGTTCCTTACAGTAAACAGTAAAAACACTTACCCTGCTGTTGCCATGGAGGTTGTTGTAAATTATTCGGAAGCGTTTCCTGGTGTAGTTGCACCTGTAAGTCCCGCCCATCAGGTACTCGATAACCAGACCCACATCAATCAGAGTTATTTTATAATTTGGAGGCAGGTGACTCTGTAGGATGGAAGAAAAACAAATCCAGGAATGTAACCACAGCTAGCACATGTCGACAGGACACACAGTAAAACTCCAAACGATAAACCGACCTGTTTAACATCCCTGACCAAGTGGAGAAGAGTCGGGTTGTATGGTGGCTGTTTCTGAAGAAAAGGATAAACAAAATGTTTTTTTCACAATGTGATGAAATGATGAGTAAAACACAGCTGACACAGACAGGCCATGTCTGAGGTACCGTGTTGTAGAGTTCCTCCAGTCGACTGATTGTCAGGAAGCGGTGCATGCTCACGCCATTCTCTATGAGCAACTTCACAAAATCCACCCTGTCCATGATGAGTGCGTCCAGCATGGCCTGCTCTAACGAACTCACCTACGTAAAAAGATAAACATCCTGCAATTATTAAATATGACTACAAAATAAACAATGGAAGAAAAAAAAACAAAAAAACATAAAAACATGATCTCTTGTTTACACACATGCTAAGAACTGAACTCAAAAACAACACGGTTCATGTTACAGTCAAGACGCCTGCGGTCTACGTCCAGACCCCTGTTTGACATGTACACAGATGAACGTCTACATGTAAACGTGGACACATACCAGGAGCTGTTGTCCATACACAAACACGTGATTCTTGGCGATGTCAACACGGTCCCAGGCCAGACACAGGACCAGCTGATCGAAGGCAGAGACATTTGTGCCTGAAAATACACACAAAACACACACACACACACACACGTCATTAAACAGTACAGACACGACAGACTTACTGACTCAGAACATCCATTATCCTGTGTTGAAGAACACGTGCTGGACGTTGAGAAGATATTTTAAGCTTGAGGTGCTTCAGTGAAATGTTCAAACAACATGTTTATTTACTGAGTTTTAGAGCAAATGAACGCTGATTGAATATTAACTATTGTTTTCTAAAATCTAATCAGGTTAATTTCTTTCATTAACTAAAGCAGTTTAAGTGTTCATTTTGACAGTTCTCATGATCGTGATCCAAACCAGAGTGAGGGGGAAACAGAGCAGCGTCCAGGACACCACACATCACCAGGTTTAGTCATTAATAATTCAGATGAAAGAATCAATCATGTGATCAAATGACAATCATTGTCATGAAATACAGGATACACTCCACAAAGTGGTCTGCCGTGATAACGCCACTTCCTGTGCTCCAGTAAAGGCTTCATTTATTATCCACGGCACTAAATGAATAGTTCCAGGTTGAGGACGAGTCTTTCAGCAGCGCTCGTGTGAGTGAAAAGGCTTTGAAAGCTTTGGTCCCCCAGGCTCCTTTGAAGGATGAGTTACTGTTTCACCAGCCTTTGTGTGCTCCTGGTCAACAACAGACACTTGAGCCTGGGATTTCTTTCAGTCACAGTTTGTCCGAAACAGGTTTGTCCACATTATTGATCAGCTGCTGTCACAGGCAGACAAATGGAGTGTGGATAAATACTCAGCTCTGTAGAGAGAGTCAGGAGAAATATGTGTTCTGTGTCAGAAATGAGCGATGTCTGTGTTCAAATAACAGGTGACGGGTGTTTTTAGGGGTCACTGGTGAATCAGACCCTCCACAGGAAAACTGAAAGATTAAAATTTCTCAGGTCAATGTTCAACTTCTCTCACAGAGACAAACAGGAAGGACAAAGGGCAAAGGTGCAGCAACAACTGTGGGATTAAGGCCCTGTGCTGTCCAGCAACACCAACTCAGAAAAGAAGGAGGGCGGGGGGGGCACAGAGGGGTGACTCAGTATCGGTGTCCAAATGAAAACATTTCCGCCTTAACCTCCAAGTGTCAACAACCTCAGCTTATTGAAGGAGCGAAGAAAAATCAGTGGTACTGTGGGTAGTGGAGTGGGAGGGGTCAGGGGTCAGGGGTCAGAGATGAATAATCTGCTAACCTTGGAGTAAAGCCCTCAGAATGGCCACATCGATGTCCTGGTGATCCTCAGAGCTGATGTGAAACACAGTGATCTGTGTATGCCAACAAAAAAAAAAAAGAGAGAAAAATATGTAAAACAAATGTAAACCGGTGAGGTTGTGGAACACAAAGCTACAAAAAAAAAAAAAAGAAATATTCAAAATGAAAGCAGATAAAATAATGTTTTACCAGTTCTTTGCTTCTCATACACTCCATCAGAGTCTGAAAAAGGTGGTTGGCATCACTCTGGCTGAAGTTGAAGGTTTTCTTAATGGTTGCTATAATGTCAGTTTCCACTCCATCAGGGAGGCCGCTGTCCAAGAGTGAAGGGACAGAACAGTCACACGTCTGGGATAATAAATGTGATCAGGATAAATTAATCTGGGTTTTTTAACAGTCGATTGTCATCACAGCTGAATAATAATAATTATGGACAAAGAGGAAAAAGGATGTTTTGATTTACAGTATTATTAAAGACACTTCACAGTGATGAAGAGACGGAGCGAATGTTGTCCTTAAGGTTCACCAAAGATCCCTGACTCAGAGTGTTTGGCAGTTAAAAATATAAATGATTCTGCTCACATTCTAAATTTACACATCTTTATTTTATTTTTCAAATTGAAATGACATTGTATGAAACACATCTGAACTTTTATTTTTCAAATTGAAATGACATTGATGAATGATAATGCTAGGCTACAGTTTAATGTTTAGGCTTAAAGTAATTTACATTAGTGTCATATGATCATGATCATCTAATTACCTACAAAACCCTGTCATGACCTAATGATCACAAACGTGTTTCCAACCACATCATCTGATTACCTACAAAACCCTGTCATGACCTAAAGTCTCATCAGTGTTTCACACCTGAAGTTTGTTCCTCGTTCTCTAAAATACCACCGTGACGGCGTTAACTGTACAAGTCAAAGGTGCTCAGTGTTTGTGCACGTCGTGCCCTACCCTCCCTCCTCCGTCTGCTTGTGCACATAGGCCAGAATATCAGCAGCGCGACCCGTGCCCTCACACACCACCACAGGGACGGGGGGGCTTTCCTGAAGGTACTCCAACACCGTCAGGATCACGTTGGGCCCCCCCTCAAAGATCAGAGCCACCACAGGAACACCCTGACCAATACCTGACAGGAAGGAAGAAGGAACAAAAAAAAAAAAAAACAGTCGGGTCAAGGTTTGATGAGTGACATCATCCGTCTTCATTATCAAAGGGACCGACTCCACCCAGAGTGACGGAGTTTGTTAAAGGCTGTGATGATAATGCACCGCTCACTTGGTTTCGACCAAACCAGAATGAATAAAGGGCGTGTCACGGCAGACAAAAGGTCAAAGGTCAACAAAGGTATAATCTATTAAAACATATCAGAGTAGTCGTGTGGTTTGACTGTACAGCTCAGTGATCATTTAAATTTAAGGATGGAGCAAATGTAATTAACTCACAGCTCTGCCGTGATGGGAAATAAATATTAAATTAAAATATATTCTAATGTCAATAAACTACTGTAGAGATGACACTAAAAAATCTAAAGTAACATGTGCCGTTCCAGTGACCCCAGAGTCACTAACTTCTTACCACAACCTGTATTAAGTAGTAGTTGTTTAAGTTGACAAAGACAGTAACAAACACCTTTACACTGACCACCCTGACGTCCAGACAGAGTTTACGTCTCACCAATTCACATTTTAAGGCTTATTAAACCAAAATGAACAGAACATTACGGAGACAAATCTGTTCTGACAGAAGAAACGACATTCGCTTCAGACGTCGTGCTTACGTGCGTGTATTCTTTGGAGGTTGATGTGCTTCTCCAGATCCCGCCGCAGATTGACCTCGGCACCGTACCTCCCCACGGTGCCGTCGTCCACCAGGAGGAAGTGGGAGTGCAGGTTGTTGAGAACATTTAGTTTGCTGAGAGGGTTTAACAGTGTCTGATACGGGGCAACAATCTGTGGGTTGAAAATCAGACAAAAGTTCCTGAAACTGAATGAAGTTCAATTACTATTAAAGTGAGACATGCCAAAGACAAGTACTTACATCTCGGCCAATCAGATCATTCCTATTCTCAATGACTCCCCATGGCGCAATCCCAACAGTGCAAATTTTCTTTGACGATCTGGAACAGTGTTCTTTGAGAGCGTCACCTACGTGCTTTGCCACACCTTTAAAATGGAGACAAAAAATATTGTGTATAATATTTTAAATCATGTGTCTGAGGTCAGAGGCCCCGACCTCCCTGTTTGTCCTGTCAGACCTAATGTCAAACAGATGCAGCAGACACGCACTCAGACCACTGGGTTGACAAACACAACATGAAATCCCTGAGGTAAACGTAAAAAAAAGTGCATAAAACGTGCAGTCTTACTCTGTGGTTTGGTGCTCGTTCTCGCTCGTCTGCAGTAATTAGGTCACACACATCTGTTAATTTGTTTGAAATATGTGTACCTGTTGTTTTTTGGCATGAGAACCGACTGAATCAGACTATAATTTGAATTTCAACAACAGGCTGCATCATCTCCTGCTGTTTTCAGACAAAGTGATAATCCCCGGCTGAAGCCGGCACTATATTTAAATATGACTGTTTGCTTTGTTTAATTTTTTTGTTGATTGTTCATTGGGATCTAATCCTGATGCTTTTAGAACAGGAGGAGGAGCTGCAGCTTTGTAATCACCTGTTTTTACACACGTGTGCTGTTTTTGTCATGGTGAACAAAACTCCTCATCAGTGAGACCTCAGAGTGGAGGCTGTATTTATCTGTATTTTCACATTTGAGTACAGGCATAAACCGAGACATCATCTGCATAACGTTTTATAAGAGACGTAGGTTGAGGCTAAAGAACAAACATGTTCAAACTGAAGCATCCTGTTCATACAGTTCAGCAGCCATGAAGGAACACATTTAGATTTTTCTAAGACTAAGACTTTCCTGGAACATAGAATTATTTATTGCATTTAATGAGCTATTAACAATCCCTAAATATGTGTTCACAAAAAAAACAAACAAGAAAAAAAAAAAAAAACACCGTGCTGTTAGTGCATACAATCCTTCAGTGATTGTTAACTTCTGCTGTTGTTAGTCCAGGAAGCACTAGTTCCATTAATGTTTGATTGAATGTTTTTACTACACTAATTGTTATAACTACCAGTAAGTCTAAAATAAAAAGACATGGTATTTATGATGTATGTTTTATGGCTAGATAAACTACATCCTATTAACTGATGCATGAGAAAGGACCAGAGTGGAAACAGCACCAGGGGGGTAAGTTCACAACAAGTGCATTAGTGCAGGAGATGTTTGAGAACCACAGTCTTCAGTTAATGCATCTCTTGGTTTCAGCAGTCATTTGTGAGACGGGAGAATATCCAAACTTGACAGGGACCAGCAGAGGCCTTACACCTAATCACTGGTCTGGGTAATTGGCCCCGTGAGTAATGATGTAAACACTATGATCAGACCACACCGTCTTAACGCTGCGCTGCAGCTACAGACACACCTTGGCCACCGCACGCAGCCAAATGACATGCTTAAAGTCCAGCATTACAACTTCTGCATCATCAGCAGCTCACTGTGGAACTGGATGTTTGGACTGCGTGACACGGCAGAAACACCACAGAACCCTGCAGCAAACATCTGTCTTTCCTGCCGCTCTTGCGATCGGACCAAAACGTGTGAATGATTCATGTCTGGGAACGTCGGCCCCTCACCTGTGTTGACCCCTCCAGTGAAGATCCAGGCCCCTGTGGTCACCGCCGCTTTGATGAGGCCCTTGCCGACAACCTGCTTGATGCGTGGGTGCAGCTCGAAGTTTTGCACTCCTCCGTGTACAGAGATGAGTATCTTGGGTAACTCCATGTTCCATTCCTTCAGCATCAGCCGGAGGATGCTTTCTGGCCGTGAGTCGTGGGAGAGCCGCACATACTGCAAACATTTAGGAGAAAAGAACAAAAATGTGTTTGTGTCACTGTGCAAACCCATGTCATCTAATTTTCTAGATAAAATGTCTCTGTTGCCACACTTCAAAGAATGATTGTGCCCTCGTACCTTGGCTCTGTAGGAGTGAGACCCTCCCTGGAAGTTGATGACACCATAGGCGTCAGTGGGGCTGGCCTCTGTGTGTCGTTCCACCGACCACTCCTCCAGTTCAGGGACGGCTTGGCTGGGCTTTTCACCCAGCTTCACGTCCGAGTACTTGGTGGCCAAGCTGGCGGTGAAGCCAACATGCTGCCGCACCAGCCGCCCACAGCAGCACCTTGAAGACGGCACAAAGACGGGTCACTGATCCGGACATAAACCCATGACTTTGGAGGTTCATTTGATTCAATCAACTTGACAGAATATGTGGTTTAGGAAGAATCAAATCATTGTTTGAACTAATGAAATTAATATAATATATTATTATTATTATAACAAGAAACAATGACTTAATGAATTACATATTTAGTCTGATTGATGCAGAAGAACTTTTTGCCTGTTGTAAATGTAACAAGTTCCTCTTGGGCTAATCCTGTCAGGTGACTTGGTGAGACAAACAAAGATGATTAACTCACCGGACTAGCTGTTGGCAAATCTGGCATCCTGGAAGGCATCTGGCAACAATTCCAAACAAAACACAAGATCAATGTCTTCTGAATACAAACAAAACTGCAGAACGTGTGCGTGAAGACAAAGGACAGTTGTAATGGGCTGAACTGTCCTGCAGGGAGGGACGCTGTTGTTTTGGTAAGAACTCTGTCAGCGGGGGCAGAGAGAGCTGCTGTGTTGCCCTTAAACCAAGTGATGGTTATGAAACCTGACATCCAGTCAAATGCAGACCTGAGAGTCAACCCTAAGAAAGCTCTGTGGTTAACGGACAAAACGGACAAAACGGCCAGTTGCAAATAATTAAAGTAAAAGAAAACACAGGGACCTAACTGCACTGTGACTTCTTGAAAGTGTAACTAAAAATTACAGGTGAATGATAAAGAGGTGGCTAAACAGTAAACCAAATATTTTACTTCTTGACAAACTTGCTGCTGCGATTCAACCCCTGACACTTTTTATTTGTGTGCCAGTCTCACATGGAGATGGTAGGTTGAATGAGGGCCGAGGTTACAAAGCCAAGGAGACACTGCTGTGCAGTTCTAACAGTGAATTGTTAGATTCCAAACTTTAACTCTGAGACAAAACAAAAATCCAGGTGAACTTGACTTGAAGAGAGCGTGACGACATCTATTAGTCACGTAGATATAATTACAGCCATGGTCATCCTGGGACATGAGATGTGAGGCTTCTTAAAATCAGACATCCTATGGTGTCACAATAAACTATTTTTGTATGGATTATTTAAATATTGGTTCTGGTTGTGGAAATCCAAAGTCAGTCATTCTAAAAGCTACAGCAGGACAGGAAACGTTTTATATAAAGAGTAGAACGTTTTATCCTTTTTCTAAAAGTCCAACGGTCAAGACTTTTAAATTTATGGAGGTTTTATTCTTTTTCTAAAGGACCAACGGTCAAGACTTTTAAATTTATGGTTACACCTCTATCAATTGTACCTCAACATGGCTAGTGTGACAGGCCGAGAGAAAATACCATTCCTGGACCAAAAAAATGAGAGAGACTTGTTTACTAGCTGGCCTGCCTCTCATTTAACACTGTAATTAGATTGACAGACATAGACATTAAAAAAAAGCCCAGAAACAGACTCATTTACTCTCTGCAGAGTGGTGGTTAGGGTTCGGGCCTACTTAACCACACACACCATACAATTACCCCCGTTTCCATGGCCATCAGGAGAAAGAACTGCAGTTCATCGGGCACATACCTGTGGGGGTCCTTTGACACTGGAAGTATGTGCACACATTCCCTTTTGGTGAAAGTGCTTTCTATCCAGGGTTTCTGGGACTGTAAATGAGAAAAAAAAAGAAGAGAGACGTAGTGTAAGACAGAAGCTATTGTTCCTCAACTTTAACTTCAAGTTCACAGCTGCCGAGGTAACAGGTATTAAACATTTATAAACAGAATCAAATAAAACATTAGGCTGGAGATAAATCAACATCGTCCGCTCCTCTTCACACAACAGTGCAAATAAGACTGAAGTTTGAATCCAAACACTGGTGAAATGTGAAAATCAGAAGCTCTGAAGCTCAGATCATGACAATGTTATTAATGAAACAACTTTTTTTTTTGTTGACATTTTAAAAGCAAGGCTTCAGTCAAAGGAATTTTCCATCAATGCCCTCATTTCTGACGTCTCCTACGGTGCAGCTGTGAGAGCCACAGCTGATTAGCCACATTAATCCTCGCCTGCACAAAGAAGAAACCTGCAGACACAGTTCAGAGCTTTGCACCGACAGTTTCCACAGAGTATGGAACTCTCTAATAACAGTGAGTTATTAGACGGCTTTTCAGGTTAGTCCAAATGTACTGCAAGAACGTACAGAGAGTACATTGAATCATGTGATAGGGAGTAAAAACAAAGTATTTCATTCCAGTTATCCTCTCTCTAAAACACCTGTCCACTGTCTCATTCAGAACCGTCTAGGTCTCAGCCATCTGCAACATTTAGCAGCGTTAGTCCACCAACATATAAACAAACAGGTCATCCCACTGCTTGACCAGTGAGACTCAGCGTGTACCTGGACGTCCTCTTCTTCATCTCTGTGTTTAAGGGCTTTGTACAGGAACATACCAAGGCTCCAACATGCATCTCCTGGACAAACCACAGTCACCGCGACTTTACTCCAGCACTAGATCACCAGGAAGAAGCCGCTACACCTCGCCGGGTGTCTGTGTCTCTGAAATCATCCAAATTCGCACGGAGGTCTCAAAGTCTACGGTGATGTGGTTACCATCCAGATCCGGCCCCGGGTTAAAAGCTGAGTGATCAGTGAGAGGCAGCAACCTCCAAACTCCATCCACTGTTAATCTGTAAGAAGCCACTCAGGGGGCAGATGAATGTGTCGGAGACAAACTGCATATTACGCTGTAGCTGAGGAGAAAGAGACGAGGGAGGTGTAGGTGTGGGACGGGATTAGAGAATGGGCAGAGGCCTCAATGATATACACTTTAATGTCTACTGAAGACACTCGCGGCAGCTGTAATTCATGCAGCACACACTGAACCTCTCCTAACAACTCCCTGGCTCCACACTGATACATCAGGAGGTTGTCCAAGAAAAAAAAGGAGAAAAGATCGAGTCGAGATCGACACGAGGTCAAAATCCTTGAAACTTTTAATAAAGTGGATGAATTAACTGAATGTCTGCTGGTGTCGCATTTTACTTTAAAATCTAAAAGAAAGAACGTTTGTATTTGCTGAACACTCCCTGACAGGAATATTCTTAATGTCAAGAACGTGCACAAACAATATGCAGTTTTCTTACAGCTCGTTTAAAACCTCAGCTGATGTGTTAAGACAAAGGCGTTAATTATTATCTGCTCTGTGTAAATGATCATTTACTGCAAAATAAATTCATGTTTGGGTTGGACCTGGCTGTGAAACTTCATTTAACCCACATTTAAAGGTAAAAGGAAAACACAGTAGTTATAGAGTTAATCATAACTACTGCGTTAGATTATAATCTGACAAATGTGCATTATTTCATATATATATATATAAACATACAGAATGAAAGAAACATGTACATATTTAATATATATTACTTATATAAATATATAAATTATAGTTTACTATGATCATCCCTTGTTTTACACTCACTTTAATATTAATTCTATATAAAATACTCTGTATAAAGACTGTCATTGTTACTAACTGGTTCTTTAGGACAGCCCATATATTGACATTCTGGACTGCAGGCCGGACAGTTCTCTTCAGTTTTTTTCTCAAAATTTAGATTCATAGAAACATTCTTCAAAGAGTTCTACATTCATGTGTCTGTGAAAAACATTTTGAACATTATTGTGAAGGGTTACTTCTTATCAGGAGACGTTTGGGCGATGGTTATTGGCACGAGACTCTTTTCTTAACTGTCAATTCAGTGACTAGTTACTGGTTTATTCTAGACCGGCGTCAGCTGGTGTTTTAACCTGAACCACCTGTACCATTCCTGAACCAAAGTGAGCAGAGCGTATTTTCTGGTTATTTTAGTCCAACAAAGTGTTAATGGTGGAGATAAAGCTGTGCTGTTAACCTGTCACCATGGTACCTGAGAATGTCAGGAAACAAAAGACTTGAGGGCTCCTGCCAAAAACACACTGTCTCACTTCCACTTCCTCACTCCCTCCCTTTTCCTTTCTGATTTTTATGCTCAAGTTTTCAAACTGTGTTCCTACTGAAAAAAACAAAACAAAAACCCCAACAACAACACACCTCTACGTTATGAACAGAAATCTTCTTCATGTTCATGTCTCTGGGTGCGAGTGTCTGACTTCAAATTTGAAAATGACTAAAGCACCAACTCAGCTCAGTAGCCCTGACAGTCGGCCCCTCCTTCACCTCCGTTCTTGTAACTAACAGCATTACTAAGCGGACTGGTCAACCCATCAGTCCTCTGGCCTTGTGTGACGTAATATGAGCAGAGATAACATCTGGCCTGGCAAGTCTTTTAAACAAAAGACAGAGTGAATGTGAAAGGGTCTGCATATAACACGTAGGAGGGGGACATGTAGAATAAAAAGCAATCGTTTTCATATGATATGACAGCATACCAATGCTAACGACACACCTACTGATGCATGTGACAGTACGTATTACATACATCATGCGGTCACAAATGAACTGAAGCATTGACATGGAGATGAAGGTTTAGAGACGGTGAGAACAGAGCAGAGGAATCTGGCTTTAGAAGTAATTGTTAAAGGAATTGACCCCAAGGGGCTTTGGTTTGCAGTGCTTTTATTCATTAAGCCCAGTGCTGTGAGGGAAACTAAACCACTCTTAATGCTGTCTCCACAATGACACCTTTCACTCACACATTCTATTGAACTGTTGTTTCACTTCACATAAAATCACAAGTGTTTTTATATTTTTTTTTTCTTTAAGCCTGGTGTGAGTAACCAACAGGTGGAGTAAAATTAACAGTATATCACACAGAGAGTACTGGTAGGTGAGGAGCAAATAAAATAATAAAACAAATTAAATTAAATTAATATATATAAAAATAATTCTAAAGTGTGTATACTGTGACATGCATTGATTCAGTACCAACATATCATGTATACATGAAGGATGTTCAGTGTATGAGGAAATATATAGGTCTCAATGTAGATAGATAACTTTAGCCAAAATACTTAAGAAACCCCTGTATCAAAGTATTTAAAATGAGTCAACTATCAATGAACCAAAAAAATAAAAAATAAAAAAATAAAAATATAATTCATTAGCATATATATTGACTGTAAACTATCAACTTTGTAGTTTAGGTTATTATCAAATCAATGGATTATCTATGTTATTAGTATTATCAGCATCATTATAATTATTACCAAATTAACACTATAAAATATAATTATCATATACAGTATATATATATATATATTGACAAAACTTCCCTCAAATGACGGCACTTGATGAGCAAATCATCAGACCCTAATGACTTCATTTTAATTGTTGTATTATTAAAACATTTTGCCAAATCTGCAGATGTGTAATTTGGCCACCTGCCCTGTAGTACACAGGTCCAAACATGGTTTCGATTAAACTTTTACAGACCTAAGTGTTGTTTTCTGCTTGGGAATCTAACAATACAGCAATTATTTTGATGGTTGTTTGAAAAAAATCAAGGTCTATTAAAAGTGGAAACAATGAGAGGAGGGTTCAATATATCATTCTGATAAGCTTCTGGGAAAGAGGGCAACACAAGTAGAGTCAGTTCACAGAGTCATGAGACCAAAGTGTGAGACGGCTGACTCTCCTGATCGCTCACACTCGTGCCCCACGGCACAAAGACAGGCACAGACTCATACCGTGCTGTGCCTCGATGCAGCTGTGGAATGAACCGTATTATCATCCTGTGAACATCTGGCAACAACTGATAAAAACAACGACTGAACTACAGGTGTAATTGTACTGAAATCAGTCAACGTTAAACGTCCATAGAACCAAAAATACAAACAACAACGACTGAACTACAGGTGTAACTGTACTGAAATCAGTCAATGTTAAACGTCCATAGAACCAAAAATACAAATGTGTTAGCAGTGTTAGCAAAGTCCAGCCAAGTCTGTTTAATTAATGATTGATGTTGTCAAGTCAGTAGACATTGTTCATCATTGTTATTGACAAATAACTAAACGGCAAATATTGAGGTTATAAAATAAATACAAAATATTTTTTAAAAAGTGTTTTGGTGGTGGAGTTTTGCATGAGAGAGGACGGAGCTACAAGAGGCTCACGTGAGTCCGTTTGGCTGTGAGTGGCATTTAGAAAGACCTCAGGCTCAGCAAACTGCAACAAACAACCAGTTTCAGACCTTTCTCTCTCTCTCTCTGTCTGTCTCGCTTTAAATACACACTGTTTAGGAGCCAAAATAAGTGATGTAAACCATTTTCTCACAGCTCGGAGAGCACAACATCAACAGCTCACACGTAACAATCGCTTATTTGCAACGATGAAGCTGCGATACCTCGGGACACAAATCTAATCGTACCCACTACTTTGACAAACCCCGTCCCCTCTGAACCGTCAGGCAGTTTCAGCAATAACAGTATCCCTTATCCAGAGGTGAGCTGGGGCGTGTGAGCAGCAGAGGCCACACTGTGGGAAATAAGACAGTTTCTCACAAAAGCCAGGCTCCGACTGCTCGGCATTACCGCTGGAGAAAAGCAAAAACATTTGATGTGGATAAACATTAGTGCAAAAGTATCACTTTAAAGAGATAAATAATTGAAACACTGTTAAAATTGGAGATTCTGCATCAATATGATCAAAGGTTTTTGAAAGGAAAAGTATGCATTAAGTATTCAATCTCACTTTACAAATACACCCACCTCCTGTTCAAGGCCTGACGTGACTGCAGCTCAAGTGCTTTGACTCCACACACACACACACACACTCCAACAAAACAACTGTCACCTATCAGTATGAAAACGTTGCTAATGCATCGGCAATGTTTAGTTGCGTTTGGCAACACAGAATAAATACAATTTCATTTACATTATTCAGTCTCGCCCTGGACGAGACCAATCCGATCCTCCGTTTCTGGAACTTACGATGTCTATTTGCCACTGGTAAACATTCCCACCCACACACGTCAGGATCATTTTTTTCAAAAATAAAAGGGACAGAAAGAACAGAAGCCGACATTCATAATGGCTAAAACAAAACCATGTACTGTAGTTCTCGTGGCTCATTAAAATAGTTGAGGGGATTATGTTTATATAGTATGGTTTATTTTTGGTGAATTCCTGCACACTGCACCTTTTAATTAAGCCTTTTTATACTGACACTCTCAGCACTCTCCTGAACTGTCACACTTGTTATTCTGTAGCTTGTATACAGGTCGTGACAGCATTGTTTAGGCTGACTCACTTTGGGCCGAATGTCTTCTCCTCCTTCCACCCACCCTGTTACTCAAGACTAGACAGGAAATTCTTGAGGGGAAAAATGGAGACCAAGCTTATTGCGTGGAGGGAGGGTAAAAAATGACAAATTTACAAACAGACAAGTCTCCTGCAGAGACAGCAACGGTCCTGACTGAAACCTGGTGTGGTACAGGCAACATTTAAACATCTGTCAACTTTCTGATTCACACAAAGCGCCCGACAGACGGGACTGGCCGCCACTCACGCCGCCGTTGACTTGAAACAGGCGCCGACAACGTGTCTCTGTCGGACGAGTGAAACAGCGGTGTCATTTTGTCCCGGTGGCTGTGATGAACGTTACTTTAGCTGTGGTGAACAGCGGCGGAGGGAAGGTAAGCTAACAGCAGCTAGTTAGCTTTGGTTACGATTAGCTATTAGCCTTAGCCAGCTAGCTGTTGTGGGGTACGTATGTATGTGTGTGTTTTGAGCGATTCCAGGCGGGCGCTAATGTGTCACGGGTGAAGTAGTAGGTAGCTCAGCGGCTAGCCCCGCGAACACCATCCGGTTGCCCGTTTGTGTGCGTTCATTTGTGCTTCTGACAGACAGAGAACACCGAAGCAGCGTGCAGTGACTCGGAGCTTCATTCACTCCACGAACACCACCACCACCAGACCAGTCACGGAGATCCTCCAGCAGCCAATTTGCCCGGAGCTCCAGTGAGAGGCAGCGGTCTAGCAGCAGTATGATATCGAGGACTTACCATTCTCTTCACCGTTCAGACTCAGGAAGAGCTGCGTCGTGGCTTTTATCCATCTATCGGCGGTGCTCTCTGTAAGCCGTGGAAGAAGGAAAGCCCGATGGATGTAAGAGAGATCCGCTTCGGCTGCAGCTTCTACGGAAGGTTGCTTTTTCATAATTGTGCGTCTCCAGACTGACGCGGTGTGACGAGCCGGCTGACTCAGCCAGCGGTGGGGCATCACGTGGCCGAGGCGGAGCCAGCGGCCACATGTGCTCTGTGTTTGACCTGGTCTGTAGAACCATTCACTTCTGCCGTTAAAGATGCGTCACAGTGAGGGCAGAGAGAGAGAGAGGGCTCTATTAAAAACATTTGCTTAGGTTCCATTAAATGTTAAAATTATTTTTTATTGTTATTATTATTTGACACTCCTGGTTTCGAGGAACACAGGGATTATTCAACATTTTATTCACCATATTTTTCCCCCAGGCTAGCTTGAAAAGAAACACAAAAGTTTATTAAGTAGACCTTATTATTTTATTAAAAGACAATGAAAGCATGATATAAACACGTTACAGATAGATCCCAAAACAGTTGTCAAAAGTTTTTCATTTGCCAGTAATTCAAACCCGTGACCGTCACCCTTTCCACGATGACCCAAACAGTTAGGCTAAATTATAAAGTGCTTTCTTATTTTGTAGTTTGCAATCATCAAGGCAAAGTCTTTACAAAATGAGGCAAACAGATGTTTAAATCACAAAACAAAAACAAAAAACCCAACATTAATCTTCTTCTTTCACAGCAATCACAATTACCTACTGTCTCTAGAATGTTTTGATCAAGAACCACCTTGGTTCCCTCACACTGAAATAGTAATAAAAATATGTACGTTTAAAAAAAGTATACAACATTTCAGCCCAACACCTCAGGTCAGCATCGCTCTCCTTCTAGGACGCTGTCAGGTCTTCCCTCTAAAAGAAAAGAAAAAAAAAACTCATTAAATTTTGGTAGTCAGAAAATATCAGAGTTGGTGTGATGCAAAATAAATATAAAATAGTGACTGAGTCAACAAATTACAAAAAGAAAAACCCATAGATAACACACTCCATGCCACAACAATGAGCAAGCAAACCATGCAGTGGACAACATAAAGATGTTGGTAACTGCACAGGGGATGAAAGTCAGAGTTAACATTTCTAATTTTAAATTTAAAAAAAGTATAATGGTTGATGAAAAAGAATCACAAAATAATAAACTGCAAACTAAACAAATGATTGGGTTAATATGTCAGGACTCCGTCAAATGTCTACCTCGGGAGTATACTTTAAATGAACTAGCGACATCAAGTGGTCAGCTGATACAATAACAGTGAAGTTCTCTGTATTTTATCTCTGACCCTGGGAATCGCAGTTAAATATTAGAAAAGAGAGCGAGAGAGAAGGTTTAACAAAAATGTTGATAAAGATGAGAAGGCGCTGCAGAAACGCTGTCAAATGGCTGGAGAGAAGCACAGGAAAGAAGCAGGGCTCGAGGGAAGCACACCTGACAACAGCGGTTCCCTGGATGAGTCCAAGACCTGGTGAAGATGAAGTGAGATCAGAAGTGTATATTTTTCTGCTGACTGTCTGTATTCACACGTATTGTACTGCGGTGGTCTTTAAAGACGGCAACATTCGTGCTAACCTGCTGTAACGTCACAAAAATGTGTCTCATTATTCAGTTAGTTTTCAAGACAACTCTGTTATTATATGGAACATTTTATACCTAAATGTGTAAGAGGAGGTAAGAACAAGTTAGGAGCAAGATGGCAGCTTATCATGTCAGGCAGTGATGCGACACTGAAAAGCAGTGGGGACAGTGAAGAAGGGAAGAAAAAAAAAAAACAGCAATTGTGAAAAAGAATTGGACATGCCTTCAAAGAATATTTCCAAATGGTTTAGACTCAGAATATTCATCTTACTACAAAATGTTATAAAGACAAACGGCCATCATTGCAACTAAATTAGGCACGTCCCAATGGCGTCCTTCAAAAAAAAAAAAAAATCAATTTGCATTCAGAACAAACCTGACATTTAAAACCAAACACAGTTAAAATCACTGAAGCTTTGTAACTTGTTCTATCTTATTTTTTTTTATTCTAAAAGAACATTTGAAAGGGACTTGATTTAATTCCTTGAACAAGACAAAGAATCAGGTTATGACCTGGTGTGAAAGATATCCCCCAGGATTCTACAAAGAAGGAATTCTCTGATGGAAACAATAAAGAAATTGATTAATATATGGATTTTATTTTTATTTGACCAAACTCTTGTCCATGGCTTTAAAAAATAAACCATGGATAAGTATATCCTCTCAGGATTTTTTTGTCTGCATTGACAAAATTATGTTTTATATCTATTATTAAAAAAATCATTACAAGAAACTTACTTTGTAAAAAAAGGCATATTCTTTCAATTCAAAGAAAACATAAGAAAAATGTTTATCTACCCTGTGTAGGAATACTCTGAAGTAAGTTTATAATGTGCTATTTTTATTATTACTACTTTTATTGCTTTACTAATGTCTATTGCTTCTGAATGCTGTCAACAGTAAATGATGTCATCTGTGAACACCACGACAGCAGGGTGTTAATACTCTTACTAAGGTTCTGCTCCAAGGCCTGCAGTCCTGTTTCAAACAGGTTCCTCCTGGTTTACTTGAATGAACAGAGAGAAGTTAAACATGTTAATTATGAGATCAACCCACGTCACTGAGACTCTAAGGCTCACAGTTGACCAACGCCGATATGCATGTACACACCAATAATGTCAAGTGTGGACACGATTCTCCGTTGTACAACAACACCGTGTTGATTTGACAGTACTTTGACAAAGACGTTGTGAAGAAGTGAATGTTTGAAACACAAAGGAAGCATCCGTGTCACCTTACACCTCACCGCCGTCTCCTCATCCTGTGCAGCAGCAACAACTCTGATGTCTCTCACCTCATATGGGGTTCCTGTCCAGAACTGTTTCAACTCTCCACGGCACTTAGCCAACACGGTTGATGTTATCAGAGTGAAGGGCACCAGGTACAACAGAGCCGGCTGACCCATCCCTGACAGGAGCATGACGATGAACGTCAGGATCATTCCCATCAGATAAGCTGCAAACGGAAGAGAGACAGAACAAACGTGCATTTAAAACAACTGTTTAAAAAGATAAATTCAATATATTTAAGGCAGGAATCTTTAAAGACTTTCTAATATATGTACTGTGTTGTACAAAACTATTTTATATGCAGGTTAATATTAGGACTGGGCAGAAATACTTACATAAGATACCCAATAATGTCACCTTCCATCCACTTATCATTAGTCCGATACACATTAACACACACCACGTGTGCTTAAGATACCAAAGTGGACCTTTAAACTTCAGGTGAGAAGTTGAATTATGATCATATAATTACTCCAATAATCCACAGCTCCCTGAGATTAATCTGGTTAAAAATCTTTTCTTCTAGTTTATATGTTTTTATTTTAAAGCGTACATGGTCCAGCAAAGAAGGTTTTTGTGACAATCACAAGAAACCTGACTGACCAGCATTCAAAATGCAGCTCTGTCTGTAGTGTGCCTGAAAAACAGGTCTTAGCTGGGGTGGAGCCGAGTGTGAAAAGGTCTGTAAATGTCTGTCGCTGATAGGACTGTTTAGATGTCTGATACCTGTGCAGCAGCTGATGAGGTAGATCTTCCTGCTGCTGTTGATCCAAACATCAAACCTGCTGCAGTAAGCTACAAGAAGACCTGCAAACAGAGACAACGACCCCATCAACAGCTGTCTTACAGCACCACCATCACAGAGACCTGATGATCAAATCACTGGACACATCCTTGGCATAAAGAACAGCTGCAATTGTTATTATTATTGTGTAGGAGGAAGATGTTTTCCTGCTTCCTTATTTTAAAGCCACAGTAGATGAATATCCATAAATACATTAGCTTCAAACTCGTTTGTTTATACCAACTGCAGCAACATACTACGGATGGTTGTTATAGACATAATGACAGTGTTAAGATGTGAATTTCTTCAGACAGGCTGCACTGACGGCCCAGGTGAGAAATGCACGTTGCGTCACGGCACAAGTCTAACCTGGAACAATGATGTCTCCATAACCCAGGATCGAGAACTGCATCGCACAAAGGTTTTGGGCCCAGGCCGAGAGCCGGGGGACACGCATCACAACTGGCAGCTGGGAAACACAACAGACGCTGGGTGTGAGTGACACACACACACTGATCTGATCTCCTTATGTGACTGTATCTGGCTCCACAACCCAATGATTAATCACATTTTCAAAGCGAGAAAATATCCATGAGAAGTGTGTAAAGAGCAGAAAGTACAAGTCTAACTTGTTGAAAAAAAATTCAAGCCAAACATTTCCTAATAAGAGTACTTTAAATATACATAAATATATAAAGTACAAAGATATATACATGTGTATAATATATATACACAGACATATATGTATAAATACTGTATATATATGTACATATATAAGTTTACACATAGACACTTTCAAATATTCAACCACATTCTTGATTTGGACCCCATTATTCAGGCCAGGTACAGACACAGGCTTCTCTTAACAGAAAAGGTGAATCGAACCCTCGACCCCTGTAAGTGGACAGGTAATAAGTCAGGCCTTACTTTCTCAGAGGGAGGTTGGGGTTCGGCAGGGATCTCCACCATGTTACCTTGTGTCTAAGACAAAATACCCCAAACCCCAGCATAGAGTTAGTCATTTAGTCTATCAGTTCCCTCAGGTCATCAATAATCAACGGTGGCAGTAAAAAGATCAGACACTTTAATTCCACTTATTCTACCAGGAATTCTTCCCATTTTATGAATGTTATTTAATGCCCATAAAATCTAAAACAACACATTTTTTTTACATCTAACCTCACTTATAAATTTGTTTCTACATCTGTAACATTTAATTTGAGAATGTATTAATATTTCTCTGCTCCAGCTTACTCCCACCATCATCTCTCCGTTTTTCTCAGTCCTTTGACGCCTCTGCCATTTTTTTCTCCCCAGCGTAGCAAAAGTGTCGCTCTGAGTGTGATCTAATTTGGTTTCCTAAGATTATTGTAAAACACTGTCTTCTAATTATCTCAATATCTTATTCCATTCCTCCTTTGTCCCCATTTCAGGGAGTTCTTAGGAGGACAGTTTTAATTTCAAAGTAAAAACTGTAAACACCATTGTTCTGGCTGAAAGCACAGGGTAAAGGTAATAATTTAGAACAATCACAAATAAAAAAATAAAGAAAATGTACCCTTTCCCCAGATGCATCAGGACCGAGTGCAACCTGAACCATGATGCTGACGCCATTCTGTTGACAAAGAGGAAAATTTCCAACTTTAAAAAAAATATAAATGTCTTCAACCGTTTCTTCTAATGAATATTAAAAGCATTTGAAACAAAAAAGTTACTTACTTACTTATTCACTTAGCATTAACTAACTAGAGTGTGATGCTAACTACTGTTTTTCTAGTGAAATTTGAGCATGGGGAAAAACGTGTTTGTCAAACAAACACTGAGCCCCAGGGAGGACACACATACCTTTGTGAAGAAAGGAGTAATGAAAACGAAGAAGACGTCATAGACAAGCAGAAGGGTGAGCAGGATCACACAGATCTGTAAGTAGTAGAATAAAGTCACACCAAAAACAAAAAACTCACCACAAAAAAAAGATACTTATGGCAAAACATGGCTACCTTGAAATTGGACAAAGAAATCGTTTTCATGAAATTAAGGCAGAAGGCAACGCCGAGAAGGTCCTGCAGGATCCAGATCCACCTGTAAAGACATGGAACTCCTTAAACTGTGCACGAGACACGGATACGAGATAAGTCACATTTATAAACAAGCCCACGGGAATCGAAGCCTCAATTCATAACATTTGGTAAAAATAAATCCATAGTTTTAGTGTAGATAAGAACTAAACTTTTGGTTGTGAGTTTTTGTAGAGCACCAACAATACCTGTCTTCATTTCTGTAGACACCCCACACCACAGAGATGCTGATGCAGATAGCAGCCAATATGAGAGACCTCAAAGACAAATTCCAACTTCGTATCGTAAAGCTAGAACAAAAAAAAAAAAAAAACAAATCAAAAAAAAAAAAAAAAAAAAAAAAAACAGCCACAAACAATTAACTATTTCTGTTTCTACTGTTTGGTGTCAGAGGTTTCAGAGAAGGAAAGTCAGTCATACTTTACAGTTCCACAGCCAAGTTTATCCAGCACTGCATCGAAACAGCTGAATAACGCAGATGCAGAAGCCATGCAGAAGATGGCAATGATGACATAAACTGTAGAGATAAAAACAAAAGAAGAAAAACCAAACATGATAAAGCACCACCCCTTCAAACACTCTAGCACTGTTGTACTGTTGTTGTCCCCACTCACCAAGGACACTGTAAAAGAAGTACATGAGCACCAGCATCCCACACATCATGGCCACAAAGATGACCACTTTCAGAGGAGAGTAGAGAAACAGATCTCCACCGTCTCCCTTGTTCTCTCCACTTCCTGCACCACTGCCACCACTTTGCAACCGCTCTCTGTCAGATAGAAAATTAATGGCATTTCGGTATAATTTTCCCACCAAAGGTTGGACGTTTCTAACACAGTACATAAACCACACCTTTCACAGGCTCCACTCCAGCAGCCGCCCAAAGAAACGGTGACAATGGCGATCAGTAGAATGACAAAGATGCTTGGATCAATCTTTGACACTGGTGGAGCGTACATCTGCACCAGCATCTCTTCACCAAAAATCTGAGGATACCAGATGCATCAAATGAACATTTGTAACTGGGATTTCGCAAATCTCTACTGAACATATAAACACGTGAGTGATTATCTGACCTGCTGCGCCTCCATGATGTCCCTGTACCTCATAAGAGCCAGGGGGATGTGGACCTTTGCATACTCTGAGGCATTGGCGCTGGGAGTTATCTGACAAAACAAAGCAGGAGAGAAAACGTATGCTGGATGTTTATAAATACATTTATGCAAAACTGTAGAAATGGTCGTTGTTAGAAACTCTGTTAGGATATACCTTTGGTTTCAGCCACATGACATTTAGATGTCAAACTCAAGTTAGCTAAAAGAGTAATGAAAAACTCACAGTTAAAGTTTAACTTGGTTGTGTAAGTAACTAATTGCTGTTGACAGAAGCACGCCTAACTATTTAAATATACAGCCGTATACGCAAAACTACGCTTCCATTATGTCACAAGAAATGGTATCTTAAAGCAAGACCAAAAGAACAAAACAACATGTGTGGCTGTGACTCCACTGTCTCCACGACATCTATATTTGTTATAGAAACTGCCTGGTGTAAATCACTGGTTTGTCACTTCCTGGATCACTTCTGTATTTGTAACAGTCATGTTCCACTCGAACAAAGTCAGTCATTAGAGAAGGTGGAAGAGACAAACTGTTAGATTTATGTTAACAACAACATTGAACTCTGACTCAGACGACAACCACACTTTTCCGTGGGATGAACCAAGTCATAAAACTTTTTTTTAAACAAAATCAATTATATTGTAAATGATTAAAACTAAGAGGTTTAAAATTTGTTTTTCTTCTTATGAACCATTAAGAAACCACAGTTTCATGTTCATCTTCCTACCAGTGATGTGTTGCTGGCAATCAGCAAACTGGTGGCTCCGAGTATCTGGGCAACAATGGCTTTTTGACTGAAATTACACTCTCCTCTCATCACAACTACAGCTTTGCCCTTGAACAAATCTGGTTGGAACCCAGAGCCGTCACACAGCCGAGTGGAGATCATGTTCACCAGTGGGTACTGTGGCTGGAACAGAGAACAACATTTGACAAGGGTTAACTTTTAATTCAATATTTGTTTTATCAAGATGTGACATAGTGTTGGACAAATACAATAAAGTAGAGGGAAAGAATTAAAAAAAAAAAGAAAAAAGAAATGTTTCAGAAGGTTTGCTACTGATTCACAGCCGTAGAATCCAACAGTAAGAGAAACTCACAGCAGAGCGAGGGTTTTCTTCCAGTGGGGTCCAGGAGTGATTGTGGACGATGCAGTATTCCTGGTTTCTATCTTCATTTGAAATACGAAGAATTGCTTCTTGGCATTTTATCTAATGGAAATGGAAAAAGAAAAAAAAAGTTTGCACTACTTGAAATGGATACATAAAATTACACCAACTGGGCACTAAATATTACTCACCACCAGAATATGACAACTGAGTTATTAAACCCCCCAAAAAAACAAAACAAAACAAAAAACCACCCAATTCAAATCAGTTAGTCAGGAACATTATACCCAACCACAGATCTCTTTTACCCACTATGGTTTTCCAGAGCAGTTTTCTGTTTGGTTTCTGTTCTACTTTCCTTTTCTTTTTTTACTTAATACACTGTATCTTGTGCTTTTAAAAAAAGAAATGTTAATTCAACAAACACATTGGGTTTTTTTCAACTAATGAAATAATATTTTCGGAGATTCCTCAATTTGTAGGTTGACTAAACTTGTTAACACGCACATATGCTTCACATCCCCTCCGACCAACACTAACTAACTAACTAACTAACTAACTAACTAACTAACTAACCATGGAGTAAATCTGCACATTCCTCTTGCACTATAACACACTTTTTTAATATAGTTAATATAAGTTAATAATAAATTCAGGGTCTGCACATTCCTCTTGCACTATAACACACTTTTATTACCAAATGTCTGACTGTGTGTTTTCTTTTATCTTCTATATTACTTTATTACTTCTCATTTTTACAACAAACGTCGGCATACATTTCCATTTCTGAAACAAAGAACACAACTTTAGTATGAACTAAAAAATGGGATGTAACAAACTGGTCGACCTCGGTCTATACCAACAGTTCGAGTGAAGCACGCAAGTTAATATAATTAATAAAGGAGTTAAAGTTTTAGACCAAAAGGTCGGTTCGTTCATCATCAGCCTTTGATTTACTGTAAATTCATAATGTGTACAAACTATTCTGATAAGAGACATTTTCATATCACGTTAAATCCTTGGTATATTTTAACAGTTACAGTAAAATCACAATTTTATTTACATGTCATGTTAGAATGTAACGATCTGAAAATTTTTTTAGCGAAGGCCAACACATGACTTAGCATTAGCACGGTGGTTGTGCTACTCCTTAGTTTCCTCATTAGTCCCAGGTTAACGCGACACTTCCTGGAGATAAATCACCACTTATTAACTACGTTAACCGTAAATCTGGTGGCACATTTTCGACGTTAACTCAGCGGAAAACCTTGTTCACACACATGCGCACAGACAGACGCCTCGGTCGTTGTTCTCCAACTCTTACCTGAGTTATGAAAAGAATGAGCGACAAAGTGATAATTCTCAGTGATGACTCCATTATGTTCATATTCGCCCCAGACCAACATACGGTCCAATAACACGGAGATACTCGAGATTGTGTCTCGCGAAGCTACTTTTTCTTTCGCCAAGTTTCTCTCCTGTACATGTCAGTTGTTTAGCCGCGCACTTCCGGGATGGTTCCTCGTGACGAACTGATTTAGCGTCACGTCATACGTGCATTTATAATCGCGACGAGTGTTTTTTTTTTTTTTTTTAACAGACGCTGTAAATGTCATATAAATGTTGAAAATAATATGTCAAATGTGTCAAAATGGAAAAATCTGTTGACCGGAAATCGTTATATATTATAATATAATATAATATAAAAGCGGTGAAATATATAAACCATCATAAATCCACTGAACAACCCGTTTAAATAGAGTTTTGTATGTTTTACTGTTGAATATCATAGAACATTAATACAACTACGACAGTCTGTGCTCTTTTCTCACAGGATTGGAGGAGGATCAGCAAATACCACATGTAAACACTGGATAAATCAATTATTATTACTAAAAAAAGTAGAAAGTTGTAGAAAACTGTGCCAAATACCTGTGGGAATTCCTACTGTGGTGACACTTGTTGCAGAGACCAACTGAAACTAATCTGTTCACTCTGTATTTGTCAACCCTGTGTCTCTGGGCTCACATCCAGGTTGAACAGCAGCGAACACACACACAGAGCTGTGGTGTTTTTGGTTAAAAATAAAATTTATATATAAAAGTTTCTTCATTGCGTCCTTCTTCAGGATATTTGGGACGTAATTCTTTGAGCTTTAATGCGGGATAAGAATGAACACCTAATGGAAACCATGTATTGTTAAGTCGGACAAAAAACAATTATAGAAGCCAAATGAATCCTGCTTTTATCATAAAATATTTTAGTCAGACTAAGAAACATCAGTACCATAGATAACCACGCACTGACATGACACTAATATGAGGAGCTTTCTTATCAAATCCAAACAGTTCATAAAATGATTTGTGGTATTTGCAGGAACCACTCTATTTTTATCTTTACGCGTTTCCTTAAGTATCCTGCAGGCGGCACTGTTGTGCAATCAATGACCATTTTGTAAACAGAACGTTCGGTGGTTGGTTAGCAACAGTAATCTAATATACTGTAGCGTTTTATGTTACCTTAAAACGAAGGATGTGGAGTGGCTTGAACAAAAAAACACGTTCAAATATGTTTTAAAAAAATACTGAAAACCGACTAAATATACACAAAATACACTCAAAATATACTATCATATAATAATTTAATCTGTCTGAATGATTGGTTGAAAAGATATAAAAAAAGCTTTTTAAATTAAATAAAAAATAATACATTTTTAGCTAATCTTTTTCTCTGCTATGGCCAATCCCACAGAGCAAAAATATAAAAGATTTACTAGAGAAACTAGAGAAAATAAATTAACTTCAAGTATAACTGTGAGTGAAACGTTGGTTTTACATATTACACCTGTCCCTGTTATTCCCAGCTCCCCTTCACCCTGAGAAGTATTACGTAGTAGAAGGTGAGTTCTATACAATCTAATCTAATCTAATCTAATCTAATCTAATCTAATCTCAGCTGTACAACTGAATGATAAACTGTACAAAACCACACTCAACATGACATCTAGATCTAGATCTTAGATCTTAGATGAACTGTACAAAACGATCTAGATCTTAGATCTAGATCTTAGATCTATCTAGATCTACCACATCCAGATAGACTGAGCCTGAACTGATGGATCTGGATTGTGCAGTGACATCATTTTCTCTGAATCAGGGAGACCAGGTCGACATTAACACCATGATTTGGGTCATTGTGTTCCTCTACTTCCCGGGGCCTAACCGGAACAACGCATACAAACGTGTGTGTGTGTGTGTGTGTGTGTGTGTGTGTAAACCAAAACCAAGGAAATCGGTCCATTAAAAAAATCAAAACAGATCCAGTAACATGTCATAAGGGCTGTGGATGAAAAAGGACATAATGTTCATTGACTTTACTCCAAAATAAAACAGACTGAACGTTGATGATTTACCTCATAATTATTGCTCTATAACTTTTCCTCCAGTATGTAAAGTATTGACCACTATTTTTATTGCTTCGTTAAAAATCAAAGCTTTTCCTCTAAATGGATCCTTCATTTTTAGGAAGGATATGAGGAGCTGAAACCAGTCCCAGTTCCCAGAGAGCGTATCCTTGGACTGTGTGAGAAGCTTCTGTTAAAGTCGATAATAAAGAAACCACTCCACAGTATCAGGGCAGTGACGGAGGAAAATGAACACCTTTGCTGATTGGTGGACAGTAGTCAAAGCTGCTACACAGTAACGGCCAGGTTTTGGAGTATTTGAGTATTTCAATAAAGATAAAGTATCAGTGCATACCTTACCCTTCACTGATGAGGCGGCGGTCGATCAGCAGGTCTTCACACTTCACCTTGTCACTCAAGATTGAGAGAATTGTTCAAAAACTGAAATCAGAAACAAATCTAGAGACTATAACTTTAACTTTTAGACTTTGACTAAAAGTCACTGGGTGTAAGTTCAACTGGCCCTCCACTGATCCACAGCCTCGCCCTTCATACGACTACAAACCGACCGTAAACTTTAAACCATGAGAGCATGAAAAGAATCACGTGTGAAAGCTGCCTCTCATGTTGGGTGAAAAGCCTGATATTTATGTTGTTACAGTGCACCTCTGATGTCGTCGTCACATATTTATGTTGTTACAGTGCACCTCTGATGTCGTCGTCACATATTTATGTTGTTACAGTGCACCTCTGATGTCGTCGTCACATATTTGATTTAATTTAAAATAATATTGTTGTTGATGTCCGTACACTGGGTTCAACCCAACCCTGTAAATCTGATCACAAACACCAGGAGGTTTAAGGACGTATTCAGTGGATATACTGTACTGTATGTCTGACTGTGACTCACCACACACACACACACACACACACACAAACTATTACTTAAAAACATTTTTCAAAGCTGAGACATAGTGTTGTGTTACTGCAGTAATAAAGAACTCTGTGTTATTATCCAATGATTTGACAGATGATCATAAACATATGAGCCTGAGGTTGAACCAACAAACACAGAAATATATATACTGTATATACACAAAATACACAAAATATGGAAGAAATACAAAAAGCTTGTTGAAAACAACATAAAGAAATGAATATGTGCACACAAATAGAATCCTCTTTGAGTGACTGCAGTGTAGCATATAGAAAACTCAGCTTGACATTGACAAGTTATTATAATCAACAATGTAATAGTGTGGGATAATTAACCCTGCTGAGTCCTAGCTCTGCTCCCACCACGTTGGCAGATCTTCACCAACCAACGCTTTCACGACCGCGAGGTTCCGTAATCACTGTGGCGTGATTGTGTTTTTCATGTTTCTCTGTAAAGTGAGAAGGATCAGGCAGAGGTATGTGAGGCTGAAGGCTGAAAGAATGCTTTAATGAATCCCTGTCACCTCCTCTCCTCTGACTGTGACCCATGATGAACCTGAAACAACACATTTCCATGGAAACTCAGCACAGAATCATCGTTATACTCCCCCAAAACAAAGTAAAGATTGTTCTTTTTAACGAGGAACGCTGCCGTCGGAATGGACGTCGAAAATATATGTGCTGTTTTCTTTTTCACATCTTGGTGAGACACACAGGAGCTGAAAAACTGAAATTAGTCAGAGAATTCAAAACGAAAGACGTTCAGAGAAGGAGGGAAATCAGAGATAAAACTGGTCATTTTACTTTGACTTCATGAATCTTTTCGTTTCCTTTATATTTTCAGTTATTTTTCTTTTTTTTCTTCTTTCATATATTTTCTTCATTTGTTTTAATACTTGTCTTTTTCCTTTTCAATGTTGCTTTTTCATTTCTTATTTTTCTTCCTTTCCTCTTCTCCCTCCTCTCCTCTCGAACACACCCACTGGGTTTCCTTAGTACGATGTGACTGTGATGATGATGGTGTAGATGAGGAGACACGTGTGCAGTGGACACAGTGGACGAGTAGACGAGCTCAGAGGTGGACACATGGAGAGGACTGTCTGACCACAGGTTCATCTTCTCTCTTCTTCACTCCTGATCTGACGGCGTCTCATCGCACACAGAAGTGAGTGAATGTAAATGTGTTCATCTGTTGCTGCTGTTGACACTTTAGTCACTTGATGTCACCAGTGTAGAACAGTTAGAGTAGGCAATGAGTGTAACCTCTAATTATTATGATTCTAATGATAGCTGTGGTTATTATTGTTATTATTATTATTATTATTATTATTATTGTTATTGTTATTGTTATTGTTATTGTTATTGTTATTGTCAGTTGTTCTGTATCATTTTTCAGGGTGTTTTTATTTTGTTTTAAGTTCATGATAAATTGATCAAATGCTGTGAATTTAAGTAATTTTTGATGAAGCCATCTGTCAACACATTTAATGAAGATAATAATCTTATAAAATACTACTACGGTTATCAACCAGAGTATACTAGGATACTAGTACACTATACTACAGTGAGCTGTACTGATAAACCTGACAGATGAGTCCACTTCCTGTTGGCGTCTTCTTACAGAGATTAGAACAGATGCTGTTGAACATTATGCTTCACTTGCATCCAAGTGTAAAATAAATTAACAACCAAACGGACACACACATCAGATAATATCTCCATGACCACTTCACGGCCTCTGACTCATCCACATCCAGCAGCAGAATCATTTCCAGTGGTTTTCACTCCAGTTAACTCGTCTTCCTGTGTCAACCGTTGACTCCACAGTGACCGTGTATCACCTGACAACCGACCACCAACTGAACTACAGCTGCAACGGCTCCTCTCCGCCCTCCAACTGGACAGTAGGGGGCGACACCGTGCAGCTGCCCACCTTCACCACAGCAGCCAAAGTCAGAGTGGTCATTACCTCCATCCTGTGCCTCACGTCTGCCTCCTGCAACATGGCCGTGTTGTGGGCGGCGCACATCGACGGGAAACGCAAATCCCACGTCAGAGTGCTGATAATCAACCTGACGGTGGCCGACCTTCTCGTGACCTTCGTCGTGATGCCCGTGGATGCGATCTGGAACATCACGGTTCAGTGGCTGGCTGGAGACTTAGCCTGCAGGCTGCTGATGTTTCTGAAGCTGCAGGCCATGTACTCCTGTGCATTTGTCACCGTGGTCATCAGCCTGGACAGACAGTCGGCTATCCTCAACCCTCTGGCTATCAACGAGGCCAAGAGGAGGAACAGGGTCATGCTGTCTGTGGCCTGGGCCATGAGTTTTGTGCTCTCAGTCCCTCAGGTAAAAAACCTTCACCCTGATAACAACACGGGGTCAGAACTGACCACATCAAACCACGTTACTAGACAATAGGCTGTGTGAAAAAAAGTTCTGAGCGTCAAAACTTACTGCATAAGACAAGACGACGGACGCAGCTGTGAGGAACTGTAGACTGATTCATATGTGGAAGACAAAGATTTTACAAATAAATAACAGTTAAATGTAAGCATTCTTTAGCTACAAAAAGATTGACCTTTAATTTTTTTATATATGCTTTAAAGTGTAATAAAATACATGAAAACCATGAAAGATGCCTCTAAAACTCTGCTCCTACAACACGTTCCAGGATGTGTGGCTCCAGACGCCTCTGGTCATCACCATGGTAACAGCTTTACAACACGTTCCAGGATGTGTGTCTCCAGACCCCTCTGGTCATCACCATGGTAACAGCTTCTTGGTAAAGCTGACATTTGTCTGATTGCCCTTTGGCTCCTTTTAATATTTTTAACATATGTCACTGGAGACGGAGTGAAAAAAAAAACTTCAGGCTCTGATGAAGCAGAGAGTGAGAGTTCATTCTGATGTTCATCATAGAAAAAGGAAACAGATCCAGACAGAGGGCAGTGTTACAGACGTTACTGAATTACACTCACAGTCATACCAACAAAAACTGTTTTAATGATTGGTTTCCAAACCTGGTTCTTCTCCAACCGCAGCTCTTTCTTTTCCACGTGGTCACCATCATTCATCCAGAAGACTTCACTCAGTGCACCACACATGGAAGCTTCGTCCTTCACTGGCATGAAACGGCCTACAACATGTTCACCTTCAGCTGCCTGTTCCTGCTGCCGCTGGTCATCATGATCACCTGTTACACCAGGATCTTCTGTGAAATCACCAAAAGACTGAAAACAGACAAGTGTAAGTTTGACCCCTGGGTCACCGACTCAAACGTGTGTCAGCTCAGAGCTGCAGATGATTTGTCTGTTGTTCTCCTGTCCCTCCGACAGTGCCCTCCAGTGAAGTGCATCTGCGACGTTCTAAGAACAACATCCCCAGAGCTCGCATGAGAACGTTCAAGATGAGTATGGTGATCGTGGTGTCTTTCATCGTCTGCTGGACCCCCTACTACCTGCTGGGTCTGTGGCACTGGTTCTTTCCTGACGACCTGGAGGGTAAGGTCTCCCACTCTCTGACCCACATCATGTTCATCTTTGGTCTGGTCAACGCCTGTCTGGACCCAATCATCTACGGCCTGTTCACCATCGACTTCCGGAAGGGACTGCGCAGGTATTATCGTAACGCCCCCAAAACAACTGCCCCGGAAACCAACACTGTCACCACTGGATCGTTCACGTTAGCTTCAAACTTCATACCGCTGAAGAGAGAAGCGAACTGCCGTGAGAACGGCACCAGAGACGGGACGACGTCAGCGGACAGCCTCTTATTTTCAAACAACAACACGGAAACAGATCTGAACCAGTGCCGCTCCATGAGCTGAGGAGAACGTCTCGCCGTAGAGTCCTGAAGAAAATGACATGATGTTCACCATTACTCTGACAATCTCCACCAGGGAGGTGCAACCTGTGGCTCCAGAGCCCAGCTGTAGCTCCTCAGTCTAAGTGTAAGACCAGCTGTGGGGTTTGTGGATGTGAAATAGTCAGTAGACCACACACACACACACACACACACACACACACACACACACACACACACTGGACTGTGGGACGAGGCTTCTTACAAATGTGAATCTTCAACTTTCTTGCTAACAGCTAAACAACATCAAAGTCAGGAGTGTATGTTTTACTTGAGGTAACTGTTGGTGATTGGATGAGGCCTACGAAGTATTGATTACTGCTGTCTGTCTGTAGAGATTTGACATTTTGTGTCTTTCTTTAAGGATAAATAACAACGACTCTGCCGTCATCTGATTGGTCCAGATCTGTTTGCAGCTCCTGGTTAAATTGTATCTAATGGTAAAATTATAAATATGGCTCCTTTGGTGTTTAAGGTTTGTTCCCTGATAATGTGCACACAGAAATGTGGTTTTGATTTGTTGTTTATATTCCTCCAACAGAAACATTCATTTACATCATTGACTTTTACAAAAAAAAAAAAATCTGAATTAAGACTGAAAAAACCTCAGGAAATGTTTACAGAGATTATTAATCAGATTTGACTGTAAATACAGCAGCAGGACTTTTCTATATTTTTTTATTTTTAGGATTTTAATTAATTCAGTGTCATCCTTTGATGTGTGAGATCCTTTGTTCTTATTGATATAAAAAAACCTCCTCATTCATTGTAATTATTTCTGTCCTGTTGGTTTGACTCCATCTACTGTCAGGCGACCAGGCACAACACTGAGCCAAATCAGACGTGAACCTTCACTGCTGCTGTGGCCACTGTTGACGCAGAGAGAGAGAGAGAAGTCAGAGGTGACGTTTATGTTCTCTGTAAATGTGTAACTCGTTGTTTTTCTTGGATTAAAGATAATCAATAGAATCAGTTTCTCTTTTCCGTCGATTTAGACTCAAACCCCCGACACTTAAAGGACAATTTCAACCCAAACCCAGCGTGACGAGACCGACAGCAGCACTTGTTAATGTGCAAAGTTGTGCTGCATAGAAATGCTGTGATTTGTGTGCAGCTCTGTTACACACACACACACACACACACACACACACACATGCCTGTGTCACATCGACGTGAGTTCCTGAGGGTTGGACGGCTCCGGTCATCAGTGATGATGAGTCATGAGTGTGGAATGAAAAAAAAAACCATATTCACCGTGAGTCTGTGATGGATTCATGTGTGACAGAGATCAGACTCATCAGGGACTAAAACAATGAACATTTAATACTTTCTCAAGAATTAATAGTGATCGCAGCTTCTGTTTTTGTCCAAAAACAAACCCCAAGGATCATAAGGATAAATTTGTTATAATATAATATAATTAAAACCTGAAAAACTGTTGTTTTCAAATAATTTCACCTTGTTTGTCTGTGCAGCAGCCTGTTTCTGCCACACGGCTGAAAAAACGTCACAGACTCTGAAGTCAGAATGACACATATACAATCTCATAATAGTAGTACTAGATAGTACTTCCTGAAGTAGTACTTCTCACGTCAGAGAACTTCCTACGAGACGTAAATCGAGGAAACACACGATGGAGCTTCAGAACAAACCACAACGACACAGAACTGTTGTTTCAGGTGGAACTCCTTCCTGTTTAACTTTGTTTATTTTTGATGGACCACGTGTGACAGACGCCACAGCACGGTGTGTTCCCATGAGCTGTGGTGCTACAGAGCGCCCTCTGCTGCACGTCTCAGCAGCTCCTCCCACGTCTGTCTGATGTCTTTGTTTCTCTGCTCCACACCCAGAGCTCTTCATATGGAAACACAGGAGAACCAGACACAGGGTACGGTTTTAACACGACAACAAAGACAACCAAACACCAAACACCAACAACAACAACAACACAAACACAGACCTTTGCTGGAGGTAGAGGTTACATTGTTCTTGTAGTGTGGCAAAGCTGAATGGATTTTCTGGCAGAGAGTTTGGAGGAGTGATGAGATAAGGCTTGAAGAGTTCACTCTCTTTAAAATTGTAGACAAGAAGGTGACCTATGACCTCCTCCTCTGAAGTTACCCGGGATCGGAAGGTCTGGTCACCTGGATCGGACGAAGGAAAACCTTTGATGAGTCAAGAGTAAAAAGAACATAATACCACGAATCCCTAAGAAAAAGAGTTGATTATCAGAAGAATGCAACTAAATATCCATGAAAATATAATATGAGACGAAAACTCGTCAAACCCATCGTTTCTGCTGGTCCTGATCAAGAGGAAACGTCCATTGTTTCTGCTGGTCCTGATCAAGAGGAAAAATGCTACAAAAACATCTATATTAAAATTCATCCAAAAGTCACCCAGAAGAATGTATTGTATTGTTTTCACCACAAACTGTAGTCAGTGAAAAAGTCATGCACTTTAGGAATACTACTACAGGTTTTTCTGTGTACTTTTTGAGTACCTCGTATGTACAGACAAGGCTCTTTCATGTTGAGAGCATAAACTGGGTTCCAGGGAGTCGCGATGACACGAGGCCTCGGAGGGTCGAAGTAACACAGCGTGGTTTTCTTCATCACATCCTGGAGGAGAACCGTTCCATTTTTCTGTACGACAAGTAACTGGAATTGAAGCAGAGGAGAAATCAGACGACGGGATCACGTGAGACGACGGGATCACGTGAGACGACGGGATGACGTGAGACGACAGGATGACGTGAGACGATGGGATGACGGGAGACGACGGATGACGTGAGACGATGGGATCACGTGAGACGACGGGATCACGTGAGGTGTCGTTAGGTGAAAAACGTCTGGTTCTCCTACCGTGCTCTGAAGAAATGGAACGGGCTGAACGAGCGTGGGGAAGTCCTCAGCGTCCTCTGGACTGGAGCGGGAGGAGAAACAGCGTGTGTTGACTCTTCTAATTATGATTCTGAATCAGATAGGACTGTGTGTGATCGACTCTGGTCACCTCTCGATGGCCTGGCTGATGGAAGGCTCCGCCCCTCGTCCCGTGGTGACCATGTGCATCAACCCGCTTGTACACAACACCAAAATATGGACCTCATCTGTAGGCGCTGGACACTGAGGGATGTAATCCATGAACCTCATCCTCAGGAAGGGGCTGTCCACAGTTGTCATAGAAACCACTGAGAGTGGAGAGCCTGAGAAAAAGAAAAGGAAGAAGAGAAACTGAGACGACAACGAAGATCCTCCAGAACTGGTCCAAAGGTTCTGTGGGCTCTGAGCCAACAAACTTTGAATTAAATCTTCATCTGTAATCACATCAAGGCCACAGAAAAAGATCTCTGTGTCTTTGATCAATTCCTGCTCGTGTTCAACTAAACAGGCCGGAGTTTCACACTGAGAATGTTTTTGTGTTTAAAGTGAAACTCCCAAAAAAAGAGTTCTGTTTTTGGAGAGTTCTCCTTTTCACGTACAGATGATAAAACCTGCTGAAATAACCCGTTGTATTGTATTGAAACGAACCCTCAGGAAATTGTAGCTTAATTAGTCATGTTTTAGACAAAAGGACCAAACTGGGAACAATACTGAGAGGGAACCATAATTACTTTAATTACATCCATTTAATTTGATTACTTAATGCAGCCTTCTGGTATTTAAATGTTCTCATTTTCTTGTCATAGTTGTGTTTCTTAGCGTAGGCGGAAGAATTAAAGGAGAAGTCTGACAAATTCCTCTGTGTTATTTATGGCCTTTTCTTCTTCACTACATTATCTGTTTTAAAGTGGGCGACTGGACTGTCCTCCAGTGAGATGGAGACGTCTTCATCTCACTGGACTGTCCTCCAGTGAGATGGAGACGTCTTCATCTCACTGGACTGTCCTCCAGTGAGATGAAGATGTCTTCATGAGGACGTCTTCATCTCACTGGAGGACAGTCCAGTCCAGATGGAGACGTCTTCATGAGGACGTCTTCATCTCACTGGAGGACAGTCCAGTGAGATGAAGACGTCTTCATCTCACTGGACTGTCCTCCAGTGAGATGGAGACGTCTTCATCGTCCAGATGATATTATTCTGATGACTGAGAATATCCACAGATATAATGTTGCTGCTTTTCTTGCCTCTGTGCTGGTGTAGTCCTTCAGGTGTACAGCTACAGCCACAGCGGTTGTTCTATCGTTTTACTCACCAGTTTTTCTGTCCCACACACACACTAGAGAATTAACGAGTCCTAGAACGACGTAACGGGTGCATCTGCTGACGGTGGAGCAGAGAATTTCATTTGCGTTTGGCCACAGAATGTCAGGCTCGTCGTCTGGTGAAGAAATGTCTCAACATCATTCATTCATCGCTGCAGATCTGAGATCACGTCATGGTTCACATAAAGTATTTACTGTCCTGACACAGGGTGAGGTTTTACCTGGTTTGTTCTTCGTGGACTTTTGCAGGTAATAATGTAGGAGGTTACGACTTCCTGTCCACCACAAACAGACGGCGACAGGACATTCTGCAGAAAAAACAGCAAAAAAAATAAATAAATAAAATGAAACACCAAAACCCTCTCAACTTAACAGGTCAAAGGTTAACTAAAGGTCACCTCATCTACACACCTGGTTGAGCGTACGCCTTACTGGCCCCAGGAAAATGACCACAAGGAAGAAGGAAGTGATGTGTGCCACGTCTGAAATTAAAGCCCCGTCAGGAAACGAAACATTTCAGTGTAAACGATGAGGTCGGTGTGAGATGTTCTGTGTTTGTACCTGGTGACTTCACATGCAGGATTAATCGGTTCCATGTCCATTTTCAGGTTCTGTGCGCCGGCGTCTTCATCCACTGACAAACAGAACGTCAGGAAGTTGACCACGCCCACATCACGGGAACTTTCTGTCGTTGAACCTGAACACGGTTGAAAACGTGATCAAACCCCAACACGACACGGTGTGTTTTTATTTCGTTTCCACGCTCTGACCGTTACGGCACCTCTGGTTCTGGACCGTTTCTTCGGGGGCTTGATTCTAGTTGGAGCCGATGTTGGAGACCACTTCTGTCCACCTTCATCTTCTCCTGATTCCTGATTCCTGATTTCTGGATCTCGAAACTGAGACACAGCAGTGGAATTATAATAAAGACACAGATGAACCAGCTACTGCAGGATCCTGGTCACCGGTCGGTCAGTGTCGGTGAACCATTTAACCCTTTGATGGATGGACTACAACAGTGACACTGAGCACGACTTTGTTCTTGTGTCTGTGTTGATTTTTACATTTACACGTTAACAGTTAAACTAAGACTAGTGATAATAACATGACGGTAGTCACCGGCGTTGCCCCTGGTGACAGATTCTCCAACTGATTGGTCCAGGCCTCAGTGGGCAGTCTGTAGACCTCCAGCCACACGTCAGCGTTGCCTAAAAACAGACACAAAATGTCACGTGACTCTACGTGCTTCAGCGTAGGCTCAGGTGACGCGACGCTTCCACCTACAGCCGATTATCGTAGCGGCGTAGTTTCCTGACGGAGACAGTTCAAAGGTCAGGCAGACTTTCCTCCTGTTGACGTCGTCCTGATGAAGGAAATACTTTTTAATAAGTTTGAGCTTTTTTTTTCTGATGCAATGTAAAGAAGATGAAAAAATACTGATGGTATTTAAACATTACTAAGACAGAAACAAAGTACTCACGGCACTATTACTAAAGTTAAGACAGAAACAAAGTACTCACGGCACTGTTGATGACGTTGAGCAGGTAAATGTTTTCACTGTAATATGCAAAGATCCTGGCAACACCTGCAGACAAGATCGTTGGTTGGTTCTGAAGGAAATAAACTCAGCCAATAAGAGAGAGCGATCCGTTTGGTCAGACTGATACCGACCCATGTAATCAATGGTGCCGATCAGATAAGCCTCTGGAGACATGCTGACCATCTGAACAGCGATGATCTCCTGTCGGTCCTTCAGCCATTCCGCGGCCCAGACCAGCCCACAGACACACCACACAGACAGGCCGCGGGGGTGGCCCAGACTCAGGTACTTCCCGTCTTCAGAGCAGGCGATGCTGTTGGTGGAGTCTGGAAGCTGAAAGACCAGACCCTCGTCACCTGACCTCAGCTGACCTCACCTGACCTCTCACCTTCACCTGTACGACCTGTGCCTCACTGAGACCCTACCTCTTTTGTGGCGGACAGCTCCAGAACTTTGACTCCGATTTTATAACGATCTGCCATCTCTGAGCCCACGCCACCTGTTGGTTCAAAAAGGCACAGCGGTTCGTTCTTTTCTTCTCAGGGGAACTCATACACACACATGTCCGTGTGCAGTGACTCTTTTATGTTTACACTTCCCTCACCTTTAAGGTCATTCCATTTAATTCTGCTGTGACTTTAGAGTTTACCTTCTCCATCTACTGAGTTCAGAAATGGAGGATTTTCTTCTTTATCCTTTTGTCCTTTCATCTTTAAGGGCATTTATTTCATTGATTTATTTTTACTGTCTAGTGAGGAAACATCAGGAATGGACAGTCTGTCCAAAAACGACTCAATCGTGAGAAGTAAAAATAAGACTAAACTGAGGCGTTCGTGTTCGCTGTCACGCTAGGATTTTACTTTGCATCATAATACATGGAAATCAAGCAGCTCAAATAGGGAAAGTTTTTTTGTTTGTTTTTGCATAATGACTAACACACGTTACAACTGGACTAATGCTATTTCAGCAGCACAGTTCACATTAGTCTGTGGTCCTGACAAATAAACAGAGTAAACAACACAAACACCAGATGGTCACAGATGTAAACAACAACAACAGAGTTGAACAGTGTTAACGGTCTCACCTTTGTTCAGAGAAAAAGTCTGATCGCAGCCGCAGCGTCACGGCAGCTTCGGCAGCGTCACGTGGTCGCCATGACGACCCTGGCCAAACGGAAGCTCTGTTGCTGAGCTACAGTTGATTCAGGTCCTTAAAAGTAACATTTCAACAAAGAAATTAAAATAATTAAAAATTCCATCCACCATTCATGTTTAAAACCAGCCAAACAATAAATACAGTCATGTTATGAACTCAAGTTTTAATTGTAAAATATCTATTTAACAGACTGAAGGAAGCTGTGGTCGAGTTTAATCGACGTGTTTCTCAGTTCCGGTGGGTTTTGTCATTTTCTGACATCGATATAAAAAAACACAGCATTTTTCTCTTTAATTGTAAAATATCTATTTAACAGACTGAAGGAAGCTGTGGTCGAGTTTAATCGACGAGTTTCTCAGTTCCGGTCGTTTTGATCATTTACTGACATCGATATAAAAAAAACACAGCATTTTTTTCAAAAAGCGGATTTATATTGTTTTAGTCTATTGGTCTATGTTAAAACACGTTGATGACGTGGACAAACCAACACGTTGATGACGTAAAACAGCCCATATTCACCTCACCACAGTAATCGTACTGTAATAGTTATATCGTTATGTTCATGGTTTGAAAGGGTTAATAATTCCACAGGGAATTACAGTAGGTCAGGAAAATCACTGCCCAAATAACAGGGAAAATATTGGAATATAATATTAATATTGACGTGTTTTACCGTTTATTACGTCAAATTAAGAAGAAAAAAAAATATGATTGTATCTTAGATGTGGCAAAACTTGAGAAATTTAATATGAAATAATATGAAATCCTCTGTGACCGTGGAGCCAGTCCACGGGTGGACACGTGCACGCGCTCACACAGTACAGCTGTAACTAGCCGTGAGAGAACCCTGGAAAAATAATAATAATAATGCGCCCCCAGCGGTCTACAATTAACGTTTCAAGAATGACTTCCAGCGTGAAGATGACGTCAGACTCCTGACCTCACGCTGTCTCCTGGTTCTAGAAGGTCAGTCCCAGCTGGAAACACGGGACAGATGGACAGACAGAGGGACAGACAGAGAGACAGACAGAGGGACAGACGGACAGACAGACAGAGGGACAGACAGAGAGACAGACAGAGGGACAGACAGACAGACAGAGAGACAGACAGACAGAGGGACAGACGGACAGACAGAGGGACAGACGGACAGACGGACAGACAGACAGAGGGACAGACGGACAGACAGACAGACAGATGAACGGACAGACAGACAGACAGAGGGACAGACAGATGAACAGACAGATGGACAGACAGAGGGACAGACGGACAGACAGAGGGACAGACGGACAGACGGACACACAGAGGGACAGACAGACAGACGAACAGACAGACAGAGGGACAGACGGACAGACAGACAGAGGGACAGACAGACAGAGGGACAGACAGACAGAGGGACAGACGGACAGACAGACAGAGGGACAGACGGACAGACAGACAGACAGAGAGACAGACAGACAGAGGGACAGACGGACAGACAGACAGAGGGACAGACGGACAGACGGACAGACAGAGGGACAGACGGACAGACGGACACACAGAGGGACAGACAGACAGAGGGACAGACAGATGAACAGACAGACAGACAGAGGGACAGACGGACAGACAGAGGGACAGACGGACAGACGGACAGACAGAGGGACAGACGGACAGACAGAGGGACAGACAGACAGACAGAGGGACAGACAGAGGGACAGCCAGACAGACGGAGGGACAGACGGACAGACAGACAGAGGGACAGACAGACAGAGGGACAGACAGAGAGACAGACAGATAGACGGACCTACAGAGGGACAGACAGACAGACAGATGAACAGACAGAGGGACAGACAGACAGACAGAGGGACAGACGGAGCTGCAGACAAACCACCTCTTGTTGTGATGAAGATGTAAAAAGTGAATACAGTTTATTGTTGTTTTTCATGATATATTCTGATCAGACTCTTCCATCTTGGTCCATTATCAACATACAATCATGACTCCATCACAGTGGACACTAACGAACCTTCTCCTCTGCACACTTCCATAATTACCACCTTTGGCCTGAAGGTGGCGGAGTGCTGACATTTTCTCCCTCTGAATTCTTCCAAGTCAAATGTGAGCAAGAAACAAATATCAGTGACAGAAAAGAAGAAAAAAACAAAAAACAAAAAAAAACAGAAAAGTTATGTTATGATAAATGTACCATGAGGACCACAGGAAGAGGACACGCTTAGAAATAAGGCAGAGCAGAGGGGGGGGGGGGGTTTACTGTTCAGATGGTTCGTGCTGCTCAGGTGTCTGGAACTGAACAAGAACTGCAGTAGTTTATATCACTGTGTACCAGGAAAGAGAGGGTGTGTAGTACCACCATCACTGTGTAGTACCACCATCACTGTGTAGTACCACCATCACTGACGCACAAACACTTGAAGCTGAGGAGAAGTGAGGAAGAATAAATACATCAGTAGTTCAGAGAGACACTTGAAGCTGAGGAGAAGTGAGGGAGAATAAATACATCAGTAGTTCAGAGAGAGAAGAGAAAAAACACAAGAGGAGAAATACTTCAAAGGAAAACTGTGTACTCTGTGTTCCCATGTACTGCATGAACAGTATTTGTTTGTACTCCATGATCGACTGTACTCCTACGACATTCACTTGATAACACTAGGTTTATAACTTCCAAGGCCTCACATCAAAGGGGTTGGTGTAATACAGCACTGATGCTGTTATGAAGTACAGGAAGTACACAGTACAGGAAGTACTCTGAGTACCTGAGAATCATGGAGTATAATAATAAAAAAAAACATAGAGCACACAGGTTTTCCTATCACATCATTTATCTGTCTTTGAAATTATTCGTATCATTAATAACGACGATTGCAGCAGCGTTCCACAGCCATGACCTTTGACCTTCTCTGACCACTTTAAAGGAAAGTTTGTGAAAAATAAATACTTGACGTTTGTGCTGCTCTTCATCAGCGATTTACGACATACCCTATAAATGCTCGACAGATATGAATACAAACAACAACGCCCCCTACTGGCTGAAAAGCGAAATCATTTAAATGAATGCATCTCCTTATCCAAATTAATTGTCATTTTGACGTTCATATGACGTCATATGTAGACGTCTGTTACAAGTAAATAATGTTCGACTTAAAGGGTTGAAAAACTAGTGGATTGATGAAATGATACAGCACTTATTCCCAAAACCATGGCTTAGGTAAGACATTGGTTTGAACATTTTGGTAAAAATCCATTATTATAACTGCAGTCATAATAATGTTATAAAGTCGTCCACTTCTATTACCCTTGAACAGTCAGTGTGACGAGGAGTCGTCTGTTACTGAGCAGACATCCTTGGCTGTCACTGCGTGGTTCCAGCAGACGCAGCAGGTGTGTCCACGGTGGCTCATATCAAAGTGTGGTTTGATGCCTGTGATGTCGATCGTCTATCATCACCGTGGAGGCCGATGCTACGAAGCAGCCTGAGAAACGTCATAGTCTACGATCAGCTGTTTGATGTAGGACAGTTTCCCGTGGAGATACTCGCAGCGTTTCTTCTCTTCCCTGTAGCCTGGGAACTTCTGTAAAAAAAAAAAAAAAGTTTATACTTTCTGATGAGTCTTGAACAGAAACATCATTGACTGAGAATGTACTGAATGTTCAAATGTTCTAGAAAGAAGTTTGACACAATATTCCCTTCACGGTTTGAACAAAGAAGACGCTGTTAAAATGTTGACAAACAAACGGATCGTCAGGCTTCAGAGTTCTTCCTGTGTGTTCATCTTTAATCTATCTTCATGAACTTTTTCACCTCCTTCAACTGAACTTAGTCACATTCAGCCTCAGGCTTCTGACAAAAAACAGTACAAGAAGTTGAAGTAAACACCAGCTGAGGTCAGACTTACCAATCTGAATTTGTTGTACTTTTCCAGTATTTGGTCTTCCATTATCTGCAGTCAATATAGAATGGAATCGTTTTAATGTAGAAGTTCAAACCAACACAATCACACACACAGGCAGTTGTACAACATCTTTACTTTGTAGTCGGGGGAGCCAGGAGACAAAGTCTTGATCTTGGACTTCAGCTGAACAAACATGTGTGTTATGGTGGCGATCCTGGAGTGGAGGTCTTTGTACTCATCATACTCAGCACAGAAATCCACCTGATACTGCCTACGCTGCTCCAGGCTCATGATTGGACCGTAGACGCTGCACAGAGACAGAGACAAAGAAACGCTTGTGTTAGTTCGTGATTACGATGATCTGTTTTCTTGGTGTTAGCATCGAAAAACAAGGCCAGGATTTTATATCAATTTTCTACTGATACATTTAAAACTCAGGTTCATAACAACACCTTACACTTCATTACATCTGCATTGACAGAAGTATTACAGGACTTTGTATTTATCTACCACAAGATGGCAGCAAAGGCAACGATTTGAAACTCAAACTTACAGCACATAATCGGGTTTCTCCTCGGACACCAGCGATTCAGTGACGTCAGCATCTGCAAACACCGAGAAAATATAAAAACATTTAACTTTTATTTGAACTTTAAGACCCACAAATGAAACGTAAACCAGGAAACCGAACAGAATCGATGTCTTAATATAATAAGAAGATAGAAAACATTGTAACGCGTGTGTTTTTGAGCTGGCAGCGAACAGAAGCTTCAGCTTAGAGACCAGAGCCCCGTGTTGTTGAGTCGATCAGCCGCTAAACTCAGCCAGGACTCGTGGGGACTCGGGAGAGTGGCCTCACAGGAGCAGAACACACGTGTGTTTATAAAACTGTAAGTGTTTATCTCACTCACTGTGAGACACACACACACACACACACACACTGGTCCCATGTTCATATATCTGTGTAGTTTACTGGTCACATGACTGAAACTGACAAACATGAAGTTTCTACAGTGAAATGTAGCTTAAAATGTACAAACTACTACAGTGAGGTTCAGTTCTATTTCCATCACTTCAAACTTCAAACCTATATTTTTATAGGTTTGATCTGAATGTGTTTTGGAGTGATTTGTCAGAGCTCATATTTCCAAACTTCTTTATCGTTATAGCACAAAAAAAAAGAATATTTATGAGACTGGATTGACAGTAGTTTTCAACACTCTTTGGATGTTTGTTCTTACGGTTCAGTTTGTCCGACTTCTGCCTCAGATCAGGACTTTTCTTCAGCCACTCACTGTCCCGGTCTTCTTTGGTCCGCTCCTTGTCTTTGTGCTTCTTCGGTTTCTTCTTTTTGTGATGGTTGGTGGCGACGTGCTGCTGCTGATGAGGAGACTCAGCGTTGCCCTCTGGTGGATGATGACTGCTTACTTTAAGTTCTGGTTCTCTACCCTCTGAGACAGGTCTGTGAGGGGGCGTAAACAGTAGGTCCATCACAGGAAGACCCTGAGTCTGAGGCCCCGGTGAGGGATTCTGGGTAACATGGTTAGGTGTTCTGTGAACCTCGCTCTTTGTATGGTCCACAAGTTTCTGTCTCTTTACAGCAAGACTCTCTGGTGAGTCAAAAGGCACAGGACGTTTCTGTGAAAATTAAAAAAGAAAAAAGAAATCAGAAATCCACATCTCTAAATATATTTCCAGATTGAAATTCTCACATTATTACAGCATTAATGTTGAGATGACACGTGAATTATTTACCACTGCAGGATGTTTCCCTGCGCTGTGATGAGGTGACGTTTCTTCTGAGAACTTCGCGGCTGCCGTGTTTGGTTGAAGACTTTTGGCCTGACTGTTGATCTGTGGCTGCAGCTTCCTGTGAGGAGGAGACAGAAAGACATGAAGACACTGGGACACAGACATGTTGGACTGACTTCACCACAGCTTTATGTCAAATCTCAGGTGAAAATTAATGAAACTGTGGCTGAAAAAAAAACTCAAAACCGATTCTTTAGGCAGCAGGTAGAGACAAGTTCTGTGTGAAAGACGAGAAAACTGGGAGCTCTGAGGAGCTTCCTGTTTTCTCTTCTTTATTAAAAGATAAAAGTGAAAGTTAGACCTAAAATCGTGCTAATGACTAGAAATGTTAAGAATTACAAGCAGTCTTTAACAGTTAACTGACCAATAAACCTCCATCCAAGGTCAAGGTCAGAGCTTTGAGGAAAGTCTGGAAGTTTTATGAAACGAAACCTAATTATCTGCAGATGTAACTCGACCACAAAAGAAATGAGAGTTGGAGAAAGAGTTTTCTTTCTAAATCTAAGGACACAATAAAAAAACTTTTTTTTTTAATATTACACACAACTTCCAGCTGGGTCAAGTCTGTGACCTCTAGTTGTCCAGTCTCTAACTGTTTACAGAAAATAAAAATCCATCCTAAAACCCAAAGTGATACTGAGAGATTTATGGAAGAGATTTGTTTTTTCCCACATCTTGAGAGTGTATCAAATGTACTGGACGTGTGTGAGTCTGTCACTGTGACTCACCGGGCCAACAGTCGACCCATGCAGCGCCTCTCCTCCCTGCTGTAGCCCGGCCAGTCTCTCTGCACGTGTTTGTAGAAATCGTCTCTGAGCAGATAGCTGTTGTCTTTGGGATTCACCCTCGCCACCTGAGGAACACAGAAGTCACACCATTCAGTCTGTTCTTATTAAACCTCTCAGTCCTGGGCTCCTCATCATCAGGCAGAAATGACCTGTAGGTGGCAGTAATGAAACAAAAGGATAAGAAGTAAAAAAAAATAAAAAAAGTCCTATCCTTCATGTTTCTTTCAGTTCCAGTTTGTCATCCTGCTGGAGGAGCCAATCACAGCAGAGCTTTCATGGGGGTGGGGGCTCAGCGTAAGTTGGGGGAACCATCGGGGGGGGGCATTAAAACTCCATACAGAAAGACCATTAGCACCCAGTGGGAAATAAACCTGTGATCCTCCTGCTGTACGACAGCGCCCCCTGTGGTTGATAGGACTATTATTGAGTCCCCCCATGTCGACACATCCACAGATATGGCTTCAGACCCCCCCCCC